TAAATTATCTATGCCTGTACAATTGGTATGTTCCTGCATAAACAGGAATAAAATATATTATCCGATAAATTGGAACAAGGTAAGAGTATTCCGGGACCAAAAACTGCTAATCTCACTGGCGAAGGCCTTCGTCGTTGCGTCTCACGAAATTTTGCTGCCAACAGCCTCAGTGACGGACAGTTACAACTTATTTTTTATCCTAGACTGGGATGTAACCAGGCGAGAGAGAGTTATGTGAGGAAAGTGGGACACGTACTTGTCTTTAATTATCAATACATTGCAAGCCGTGATTCATGGTGTGCTGTTATGCTTTTATTTCATAAACTACCTGCATTATGACTTGGGCTTTTCAGCACTTCTCTGGGGAGATTTTCTAAGGCCATAGGTGGCTGAGAGAAATGAGGAAGAATGTATCGGGTTGTGGGAGTGCTGATCATCCTGATGAACTGGACCACAGCAGTGGGTGAGATTTCTATAACTACAAAAACCATACGATATACATCCTCACACAATTAGAACCAACAATCTCCTAATACTTGATTTGATAGGGGCTATCTGGTGCAGAGACAATGAGAAGTAGGGGTTGCTGTTAGTGGGAAGGACGAACTTACACCTAGACATTTCACGCAGTTATACGAAATATGTACGGCTATATTTGGAAGTACAAAATGTCCAGTAAAATACAATACGCAAAATAGCGCACAATCCGGGGGATCAAAACTGAAAGATATTATCAGAATACTTTGGCATCTCTAGGAATAGTCCAAACATTATCTCACACCACAAGGTTTTGACAAAGCGTGTTTTAATTTTTCTTCACGCAGGGTTCACTGCTTACAGAATTTATCATTAATCAATGCAACCACTGCTTTATTAGTGGAAAGCTTCTCGAAAGGCTCAGTTGTTATACTAGGAGAAAACGTTTGTACACAGAAGGGAAGATATAAGGGCTCCACCACTGGTGTTGACTATACGCTCACTTCAAAACAAAACAGCATAACTCTTCGTATTGCGGTTAGTTGGGCTACAGTGGTCAAGGGAGACAGGTATTTTGTAGTGAAATCTGTCAGAAAACAAAATCCTTTCGAAAGAACAAGAAGTGAGTACAGAGGAGTCTTAAGGCTCATACAATCTTTCCGAAAACATGTTAGATGCTGGCAGTAACATTTTCGAAATGTACCTATGGTTGATCTTTCAACCTAAGACAATGGAAAATGGTGAGAATACTTACCCAGAAGATTCAGAGAGCAAGCTTTTCCCGCATAACTACAACTTGTCCGGTGTAGTGTCAGAGCGAATCTTAGGTCTCGTTCTAGGGGAGAAACTGGATAAAAATGTAGATTAACTGGGTGATGCTGCTAGGGGATATGTGTTTGTCCTTTTCATGGATAAACAGTTAGTGATATTCACTCACTGTATAAGACATGTGCACTACCACACCTTGAAGTACATAATATCGTTGCTTCCCCGCTGCTCATAAGGAATGCCAGAGTCTTGGAAAGAATCCAAAGAATGGAGATAGAAGCAATCTGTAGAATAAACCATCTGATAAAATGTGGATGAAAATCAGTCTTTTTATACTTAGCTATGTATGCTGAGGGGTGACAGGATTATTCTTACGCGATTAAGAATGACAAGAAAGGGATATTATGAAATTAAGTCATTATAGGCATTCTCATTACAACCCAAAAGGAACTGAATATCAAAGATCAAAGACTAATTTCTCTTTGAGTTCGCTGCTCTTCACCAACAGATTAACTACACCTTGAAGTGCACAATATCTTTGCACCCCCATTGCTTAGAAGAGACGCATAACATTTGGAAAGAATCCAAAGACGGGCAAAGAATGGAGCCATATGTCTCCGAAATAGACCATATGGTGAACGGCTGAAGAAATTAGGCCTATTCACACTTAGCTATCGTCAGATTAGGGAAGACATGATTACTGCCTATAAGATAACAAATGACTAGAATCACCCAAACAAAAGTGTTCTGCCATTCAGCAGATATAGGCTTCCTCGTGGAAATCCCAGAAGGATAGCACATCAGAGAGCAAGGACCGGGATGCGCTACCACTTCCTTTCACTGCTGGTTTGCCATCCCTGGAACTCTTTACCGGAAGCTGCAGCTACGACACTGTTCATGGACAGATTTAGGCGAAGTTTGGACTGCCACGCAGTGACACAAGGACTGCGTCCAAATGGCCTATCCCCTTAAAATTCCATACACCATTAATGGGAAGACATCTCAACTCATCGTGTTACTTCTTTAAATTCTCTCCCGTCTTACTCTCCTCACTACTCCAACTAATAAACTTACACTTATAATTATTGATATTATATTCGCATACATATATTAACTTCAGGCTTGATTAATAATAATAATTAGCTGTCTGCTTTTAAGTTTTAAGTTCCAATACCCAATATCTTTTTTACGAGCTAGTATATACCAATTTGACTTTTTTGTGCTCACCTTTTGATTGTGAGATATAGGTTCCTGATCTTCGGTAAACGTCTGCGTAGCTCGTCCCGCCGCTCGACTGCCGTAGCTTTGGTTGACTCCAAAAGGAGTAGTGCAGGGATTAATTATTTGTGGTTTGTAGTATGCGGTGTGTTAAGACTGTTACTACTGTGAATGGAGTTGATCCTTTCACCAGTTGGTCCTTCGGTATCGTCGTCAATAGAAAAGAGATAATAATAATAGATATAATTAGTGAAGGTATTCAGACTAACAGACAGAAAAAAAATAAGAAAACGTAACAACAGTCAGTCAACCGGTATATATATATACCAGTAATAATGATAATAATAATAGTGTAGTTAAAGCTGTCAGGAGAGTAAGACGGAAGAGAATGTAAAGAAGTAAGACGACCAGTTTAATTGTCTACCCTTGGATGGCGTATGCGCTTTTAAGGGGATAGGTCATTTGGACGCAGTCCTTGTGTCGCTGCATGGTTTTCCAGCCTTCGCTTAAATGCGTCCACAGACGGTGCCATAGCTACATCTGCCGGTAAGGAATTCCAGGGATGGCAAACCCGCAGGGAAAAGAAGTGGGAGCGCACCTGGGTCCTTGCCCTCTGATGAGCTATCCTTCTAGGATTTCCACGAGGGAGCCTATACCTACTCAAAGGCAGAACATCTTTGTTTGGGTTATTCTGATCATTTGTTATTTTGTAGGCAGTAATTAAATCCCCCCTAAGACGACGGTAACTAAGTGTGAATAGGCCTAATTTCTTCAGCCGTTCACCATATGGTTTATTTCGGGGACAAACCACTCCTTTTGTTGCCCGTCTTTGGACTCTTTCCAAGAGGTTGACGTCTCTTCTATGCAGTGGGGGTGCAATGATATTATGCACTTCAAGGTGCAGTCTGACGTATGTTTTGTACAACCTTAGAAAGAGCTCAGGAGTGAGTGCACCTAACTGTCTATGTGTAAATTGTATGACCTCACATGCCCTTGCTACTTCCCCCGTGTAATTTACGCTTGTGTCCATTTTCTCCGCTAGAACTAGACCTAAGTCACGTTCCGACATTGTGCAGGACAAGGTTTCATTGCACAAGGTGTAACTTGCATTCTGCAGTCTACAGGTGTTTAACTTCACTACTTTGCACTTTTTTCAGGTTGAAAGTCATGCCACTGGCCACCGCCCAGTCTTCCAGAAGGTTTAGATCTTCCTGAAGCCTATCTTAGCCCTTCTGGCACTTAATCGCCCTCCATATCTTCACGTCGTCAGCGTATAGAAGAGTCGGGCAGCTCAGACGGCATGGTAGATCATTGATAAAAATCAAAATCATCAGTGGTCCTATGATAGAAATCTGCGACACTCCTGATGACGAGCTATGCCAAGATGACCGGACTCGATTAACCTTAGTGCAAAATTGCTTTTCAGCTAGGTAGTCCTTTAACCATGACAGAAGTGGCTTACCTATGCCTACCTGGCTTATTTTGTGTAGGAGAAGGTCATGGTGAACAGTGTCGAATGCCTTCTCAAAGTCTAGGAAAACAACGTAGACTGGAACATTCATATCCCAGCATGATGTCCAATCGTCTCAAAGTGATAGTAAGTTAGTAAAGCAGGATCTCCCTTTCTTGAAACCGTGTTGGGCTTCATGGAGTATTTTAGACCTATCGAGGTATCCCCTGATGTGATCGTCAATAATACTTTCCAGTACTTTTGATACCACTGGAAGTAGAGCTACTGGTCTATAACCAGTGGGATTTTGCCTATCCCCACCCTTGAAGATCGGAGAAAAGATGCTTCTTTTCCACTCTCTTCGCAGTTTCCCCGATTCCATGGAGTGTTGGAACAAGTCGCATAAGGGCCTGCAGAGAGCTTTGGCGCAGTGTTTCAGAACAGATGGCCTGATGTCGTCACAATCTGGGGACTTCCCAGCTGTGAGTCGCTGTAGCTTTCTTAGTACTATTGCAGGTTTTATTCGGGGAGTAGCCATTAGGTCTTCCTCCTGTGAAATAGTGTTGCCACCATTCCGGTCCGTAACGGTAATACCCACATTGCTGTTTAGCTGTTTGGCGAAGGCTGAACTGAATGTTTCAGCCATCTCCAGACTAGTGAGATATTGACCGTTTTGGCCTACTAAGACGCATGCCCCCTGGTTGGTTGGTTTTCTTTATTTCTTTTCTGTCTTTTAGTCTGAATAACCTGCACTAATTATATCTATCATTATTACTTCTTTTCTTTTGACGACGATACCGGAGGACTAACTGGTGGAAGGATCAATCCATTCACAGTAGTAACAAAGTTTTAGCACACCGCATACTACAAACAGCAGATAATTAATCCCAGCGGCACTACTTTTGGAGTCAACTAAAGCTATGACAGTCGAGTGGCAGGACAAATTACGCAGAAGTTTACCGAAGATCAGGAACCTTTACCTCAAAATCAAGAAACGAGCAAAAAGAAATCGAACTGGTTTATACTAGCTCGTAAAAACGATATTGGATATTGGAAAACCGATATTTGATTTGTTTAAACGGTGCTTTGCTTAACTACAGATTGACCCATCTTTATTATACTTTTGAAAAGTCCTCAGTTCTCATTTTAATTCGTTTTCAGTTCATTCACTTGTGAATTTTACCTGTTTTCGTGAACTTTTGACCTTACTTGGTTCATCAATTAATTAATTAAGTTCTAGGAGTAGTGATGCAGCGGAATCTCACTGTATTGGAATATTATTGAATTAGCATTTCAGTACTTTACACACTCTATCACACAGGAATCCGATTTGCCCTCAAGCTAATCGCAGATTGGTTTTATTTACGTGGTATGACTCGTCTTCTTAAAGCCATGCGACTAATTTGCATAACAAGAGCTCTATCTGTTATAGTAACTCTAGTACACGAAGGACTCATATATATGCAAATACGTCTACGGAAGAAATGTAGTCTAAGGGTAGCCTGTGTTAATCCTTGCTACATATATCTCCATGAAGTTCAAGTTCCCCTGAAAGTGCTGGCTGAGGGATCCAATATTATGTGGTCTAGTAAAGATTTCCACCTGCTGACTACTCATTTTAAGAATCTGAATTTCATCCGTATCCTGTTCAGTCGCCGTTGTATAAACTTTATTTGGTGATTTATCAGGGGTTAGGAAGACCGACATCCAACTCACAACTTTAAAGTTGAACTTAATTAAGTTCATATAAGTTCACTACTACTTCTAAGATATGGTAATGAGGAGAGTTTCAGTCTTTTCATTTTCCTCTCACAAAGAAGATGTGAGTTTCTTCCGACTACCCTGTTGTCAACCTTGAATTGTGTCTCTTTCTTGAAAGAATTACTAGTAGCATGTTTATAGTAATCAAGATAAAGTTCATGTGTTAGATCAATTGCTTTAAACACTCTTGTGTATGTATTTAGGAGCCCAATGAAACAGTGCGTTTAGAAAACTGTGGCTTAGTCATATAATTGTGAGCGGCTAATTTTAACTTGTGAGTGACAGTGAGTCCCCAAACTTTTTGTTCCTTAATGTTAGGCACTTTTTCTCTACCCTGGAGGCACATCTGTGACCTAAATGCGTTACTGCACTTTTTCCTGAATTAACTTTTTAACCTCAACGACTAGACCTCTATGAGAATTTATTCATTTTGTAATGCTAACCTTTTGGCATTGCTGTCTATATACCACATCTTTACATTGTCACAAAATTATAGAGAAAACGATGTTAGGATCTCAAGCAAACTGTTGATATATGTTAAGAACAGCAACGAATCTAGAATGGTTTGCTCACTTGCATGGGCCATTTTATCTGATGGCCTATAGAAATGTTTATTACTGAGACTTCTGCCAAAACGCTTACGCTTATTTTTGTTGTATGATAGACTGGAAATATTCAACGCTCATTTTCTATTACAAGAGATAACTGGCAACAATTCGAATGCTTTTCGGTAATTGCTTTAATTCCTTTGGAGTTTTTATTTAGAGCCAAAACGTTATGAATTTGCCTAACATAGTGCCTGGGCACTGATATATTTAAGATAGATTTTGGACTCACTCACCATTCCTTAAAGTACATTTTTCCATTGTCTGTCTACGATAGAAAACTTTTAATGTTACAGAAGTTGATAAAACTTCGAGTATTTTATCTTTCAATAGCTGAACCGTTGTGTTTAAAGCAAAACAGCGTCAGAAAACTGTCTAATTTAAAATTAATCTGTTGAACAAGGAAATACTAGAAAAAAATCATGTAACTATAATTAATGTGAAATGACTATTTCGCACTTGTACATGAATGTGACACTAAGGATCAGCCCTATACGTCCGTTGTTCAGGTGGTAATACTAAAGTGCTACAATTATTTTTCTCTCGGTCTTTCTATTTGGGAAAAATCTGCCCCAAACAAAGTATCAAACTCCACAACACACGAATAAATACTTTGGGAAGGAGTTCTCAGTAAACATGACCTACACAACATAATGAGACAAAATATGTAAAAGCATTAATCTCTCTTCTCAGAGAAACTAGTAACCTCAAGCCTTGCTTCACAACGTTTATTGAAAAATTTTAAGTACAGCTTCTGCAATTTTGAAATCCATTCGTAAATAAATTCTTATGAAAACTAATAATAGTGTCCGATAATATATTTATATATGAATATCAGGCGAATGATTATAGTCGTCGATTTCAACATTATGTTAAATGTATCCATAAGTATGTCTGATAATCTTACGATAAACTTTCAGTGAACTACTTACAGGAGTACCCTTGAAGGTCTTATGAGTTGGTAATGTCTTGTATGCCACGAGGGTCTATGCGTGTGATGAACATTCTAGGTAAGCAGGAAAATGCTGTTATCACTAATGGTTTCAGAAATCTTCGGAATACTAGATTTACTGTTCTCATTCGCATAAAAAACACTCTGAGTGTCTTGTTCATTGTTCAAAGCATACTAATGCTTATAAACATAAGCAGTGCTTGGCTGTGAAAGCTTATTTACATAAAGACCCTCATAATCAAATAAATAATCAGATATCAAAAAGAGCTGATGAAAAAGGTAAATATTTAGCCCTTAATACTAATCTCAGTAGAGTTATCCATAACTATTCTAGTTTGTAGTTATTCTAAAGCAGGTACAACTTGAATGGGAAAACATTTATGCAAATGGAAAGACGATTACTCTTCACATAGATGTTTATTAGTACCCATTGCCATACTAAGATAAGTTACATAAAAGAAGGCAGTAGTAATCGAAAGATAATCTGATAAACAAAGATATTCAGAAGAAGGGATAAGATAACGAATGTTAATAACGTTCATTCTTATCACCTAGTTTTCAGCCATCTATTCTTATCACCGATTTCACATAACATTGCTCTTCGAGGAAGTCAGAATGCGTAACACACGGCTTAGATAGTTAAACCGACGCAGTCTGATAATATCATCGTTCGAAGCTCCTTCGTTTCCCAAGACACTATACACAACCTCATTATTATTCAACAGATTTTTCCAAATGACATGGTCAACTGTGTGGAGATACCTGTGAGCGAAATCTGTTTGTCCCTTTGCATGGTGTAGCATCAGAGGTCGTATCTCACTAAGTAACTTAAGACAGAACGAACTAATATACAGTATATGCACCGTTTGGTTGACAGTCAGATACTATGCCTACACCCAATATGGCGGAGCCGGTAAATGCCACTTCATCCGTATCTCTGCTGAGATTCGCTGGCTGAAGTAGCTAGTATGCATTCAATCGCTTCGCTCTATATCCCCAAATTACTAGGAGATCAGTATCAAGATGCTAACTTACAATACCAAAGTTTAAAATGTGAATCTGAACTCTAATACCTTGAACAAAATATGTTCAAAAGAAATTGTGTTTTCCCTGTTACGTAAATTAAAAGACTTTAAACAGAATTTTATGGGTTATATTCACAAACTGTAATTTGCATCATATGATTTCTTCCTTTATTTCCTGGAAGTAGATTTTCTGTTCAACTCTACTGAATATGAGTGCCATTCGACCAGGTACTGCATCACGTTTGAAGACAGCTCAGACACATGGTCAACTTGGTACATCATCTGGTTTAACGACTGGTTTAAGGTCAGGCACACGAAGTGGTGCTTTCGGTGCAGCAAGTTTAAATACAATGGTTTGTGTTGAAGACAGACCAATTACGCAACAAGGTGAATAAATTAGTTGTCATTTGGAGTTTATCTAATGAATAAAACAGGTTTAGGAGGATTGAAAAATGCAATTCGTGGGCCAAAACGTCAAATAGAAGATAAATCTTACTTTCTTGGATTGTTGAGAGGAAAAATCAATGAAGTGAACACTGAGATTGGGACAATTACTCGTCAATTAATGGAAACTGAACAAGAAAATGCTAGTTTTGTGCAATATGAACAAATAGCTGAAAAGTTAGCTTATGAAATTAAAGAATTACAGGTAATCAGCTGAATGCAAAAATGTAATTAAGTGGTTGTGTTTTTCGTGAATAATTGGTTTCCTTGGTAGTTCTCACCAAACAAAAGGTTGTCAGTACTCACTGTTCAAGATTGTCGTACCAAAGAGGAGCACTTTTTGATTTTAAATTGTTCTCGGTTCGTGACGAAAACATCCCTAAATATCAGCATTTTCTCTCAACTGAAAACTACATACCTTTGTTTTTCTTCTGCTCGAGCCTTGAACTAATCACCCTTATCATTTGTGGTCAGAGACATTTCACAGCATATAATTATGAGGGATACAAGTCTTCATAATATAGCGAATTTCCTTCTCGAATAAATGTAAATATTAATGTAGCCATTTCTAATGACTGGCTGCGTTTCGACATAGGAAATTGAGCAGAGGTGCAGAAGTTCAAGTTGTCACACTCTGTGTAGCAGACAGTGGTAGAGACAAGAGAAAAGAAGAAATCCCGAGGAACAAGAATACGTAACACGGAGAAACATGAGGGTCTAGTGCATATGGCAAGATCACAAAGAGTGAATGCATCTGCGAAAATGAGAATGATTTTGGGATGTATCACAAGTAGTCTCTGGCTGTTGGTTCGTAACATCGCGATGATCCTAAATAGACAATCTACACCTCCCTACGTGGTTAACTCAAGCCAACTGTCATAGACTTCATGGGTTGATGATAAGTTTCGATTTGGCCACCTCTCACTCTTTTCCAACCTAATCCTGTGTCAGTCAACGATGTTCATCTAGTATGATGATGCCTCATTATCCCTTCCCGACATCTTCAGAGCTAATTTGAGTGTAGAGTGAAGCTCACTTCAATCAATATATTGATTAACAATGTCAGTATAGTCATGCATCTAGTTTTTGATTTGTAGAGATTGTATTCTGTCAGTCAACTTTGCAATGTGGTTAATCAACGGTTTCTTTAGTGTACGTCCAATCCATCTTCATTTCTTTCGACATATTTGTTGAGCGATTTCAAAGAAGTTAAGCTTAACAAACTTGATATGTACTATAGATCTTATTGTCATCATATATTTATTGACTTGAATTACGTAATTCCAGGGATGCATACTGAGTCATTGATTTTTTAAAAGTAAAATTAAAAAGTTCATTTAAACATAATGATATCTATGCATCTAAATAAAACGGGTTTTTTAATTTTAACATTTAACTGCTTTTATTTTTTTCTCTCAAAAAACCAGGGAGAATTAGGTGATTATAATACTCTTATTGATAAAGCAACACTTAGTGATAACATTACAAGCATAGAAATGGATTGGGAAGAAGTACGTGTTGCAAATGAACGTGCTGAACGAAATTTAGAAACGCTATTTGAAGATCGTCAGAGAAGAGAACTAGTGTTAAAATCAAATGAATTAGAATTAAAACAAGTAAAAATAATGTTTTATGATCCCATTTTCATTTGCTGCCTTTATGACGTTTCATGAATTCATTTTATCTGTCTCAATAGCCCTCACTACTTCTAGTCTGTTAGAAGAAAAAGAATACACATTATACTCTGTGAAATGTTTTCTTCCCCTTCTTTCTGGGCACTACCCCCTCCAGTGTCCTGCTTTGCTGCATTCGGAGCACCAGTCTTTTCCGGTAGTCATTCGTAATGCCTCTGCCTCACACTGCAAATCTTCAACCTTCTGTTCCCATTCGTTCAATTTTAGTGGCTCTACTGCTGCTACTGTTCTGCTCAACAGTTGTCTGGTTACCTTCGCCAGCTCACCGATGTCCATGGGTTGTGTAGCATTAACCAGTTGTAGTTGCTGAGAAATGTGTTCTAGCACACTCTCGATGAACTGGGACGCCAATAGCTGTGAATCCGACTCTTTATCCAATGTGGGGAGTGCATGACGCAGTGGGTTCGCCAGCTTCACCGCCGACGCTGGCGGGTCTCCATCCGGTCCCAGCTTCGTGGTACGGAATAGTTGCATCACCACCTGCCTGTCCATTGGGCTGTCGAACTCTGCCACCAATCGTCAGACCAATACCTTACAGATCTCCGTCCTACCTGACCACTCGACAATAGCATTTGCAGCCCTTGCTCGAGCTCTCAGCAGCGTTCCCAGCACGACCGCCTTTATCATCGGATCCTTGATGCGCACCAACTCAGCGACAGCTTCAAAGTCCCACAAGAAGATCCTGATGTCTTCTTCCTCAAAAGCAGCCAGACATGGGGATCTTCATCGTCTGCAGGTAGCGACACCAACTGTAACGGTAGAAGACGAGAGACTTGGTACAGGAGTGCTTATTTCAATTTGGTATCTCTATATACCCACATTATGTACATCTTAGCTTCATGGCACCATTTGCACAGAACTTTGTGTCATTGTACTTCTGGCCTTCATACTGTTTTTCTCTGTGTTCTTTTCACGTCTCCCATGTATCACTACACTGCTGTATCATTTGCTTTCTCTGACATCAAATCTATCTCACTGCTATTTGATGTTGTTATGCCGACGAACATCTCTTTATATTTACTACTGATAAATCTTATCAGTAGCGTACTCAGCAGTATGAATAAAACTGACAGGTAGATGGATAAACAAAGTCTCTAAAGTTATTTTCTGCTAGTTCTATGACTGTCCACAACTTTTTATTTCTGCTTCAGGTGATCTCCTTGAAGTCACTTTCAGATGCTTGTGATGTCACTCAGCGGTCTACTCAGTGTGTGTTCAGTCCATATCCATTTCTTTCTGCACAGTTGTTGGGCGATAGATTCTTACCTGTTGGCTGGCTGTCTAGCAGAGTTTTTTGCTGCTTATCCTTTCTGGCTGACGATCTGATCCTCAGTACTGAACGGGATGGGGGAAACATTGAGGAAAAACTGCAGTAGCCTGATTGAAATAATTTTGGTGACGAGTCCGTCAAATCTCTGAACCAAATTCAGATCTTATTCCTTGTGCTGAGTGCTGCAGAACTATATACTGATTTCAGAATAATGAACGCCCGTCTTGTTCCCCCGACCCAGTAATAAAAATCAACAATGATTCACGAACTGCTAATTTGTACTTAGCATATATGACAAGAAATTTACCTACCTTAATGTTTAAAAACGGCTCATGATGAAACTCAGAACAAAAACTTCTCCGTCAAACCATCTTGGATAACATCAATGCTAAAAGGAGTAAAGGTGACTTTGATTAATAAAGAGTAAGAGTATTAAACTAAAGTGCAACCCATGAAATCCTGTACCATATCAAGTTTTATTGGTGAATGATAACTGATGTCAAAACGAAAATCTGAGTTGAAGCATGTTTCAAGCTAGCTATCTGTATATTACAAGTAAAGTGCTCTACCCGAGACCTAGTTAATTCTACTGATCAGGTATTAATCATACTTCGATTACGACGGATCTTGACTTTGTTTCAATCTTAAGTGTAAACCCATCGTTTCCAACAACTGAGGTGGCCAGTGGACAAACTCTTCAAATATCAATTTTTAACGTGATTAGTTAGGAGAAATGATCAACCTACTGGTCACTAGGAAACACTGGACTCACTACAGGATAAAGTTGCCTGACTTTTTAGTGGGAAGTCGTGATCAGCAGCGTCCGCCAGTTAGGGTGTGAGGCCAAAGACCCGCGATGACATTGGTTGGCGGTCGCGTTAAAAGTCGCGAATTGAGAACTGATGAACCATTGAAAACCAGTAGAGATTACTAAGCAGTAATTTCGCTCTTGTTTTTGCCTTTTCATCAGAACCTACCCATGATCCCTACAGGGGTCGAAACAGGAACCACTGGGTTACAATTTGAGCCCGTAGACCATTCGGCCACTGGAAGCTGACCCGATAGCCCATTAGTTCCAACTTCTGCCAGTTCAAGATATGTACAACGCGGTCGCCAGTCAGTGTCGTAGGCAAGTAACTGTTTTGTTGCTTAACTTGGTGAGTAGTATGAAGAGTCCCAAATGGGGAAGAAACAGCTGTCCAGTACTCTCTGGTTTTCCAATGGTTCTCTACCTGATTTCAGCTCGTGATCAAACCTGCATCTACTCAAGTACATGCAAACCAATACTTGTTATGAAATTATTTATTCATATTTGTGATTTCGCGTTGACATATCTGCAGAGAATTACCCAGCCTCAATTAGGACGGTGAATGTCTTAACTTTACCTTTATTACTTGTTTGATGGCTAAGTATCCTAATGGGTAATACTTTAGAATTTGAAGCGAGAGATACTGCACCACGTCCCACTGGAGACAGTGTCACTCTCTGGGGATGCAGCTACTTCCAGCTAAGAAGTCACATATGGATGAGAGCGGGAAATGAGAGTCATGAGTTCTGCTGCTAGCCACCATCATAGAAGTAACTCTGAGTGACTATCCTATAGACAACTTTTTATATTATCATCCAGTTTAAGATTATTTATATATGTCAATGAGCCCAGGGAGACTAAAATTCTATGGGTCGTCAGATCATAAAACAGTAAAGTTAACTAACTCTGTTATGCCTACACCTGTGTCCAACAGTAGACGGCATAAAACTTAATCAGCATGTAACCGAATGAAGTACTTTGTAGTCAAATTTAGAATTTGCAGTTCACACAGTGTGAGGTGAAATTTACCACAGTTTCCTTTAGGAAACCAAAATTATTTAGATCACAATATGTAATCTTGTTGATACTATGAATGGTAAACAAGAAAGCAATCATAAATGCGTAATACTATACACAACTGATTTCGGATGGTTTGAACTTATTCGGCTGTCTGAGCTAAGATAAAGTGGGTAGACTACTGATGAGCTCCGTCCCAAACGAGCGAGACGGCCATCCATTCGATCTGGCTGGCTAGCAAGCACTACTGGCTGATATAAGCGGTATCCGACTACTCATCTTGGTCAATCAGTGGTATATAATTTTATGCAATTATGCTTGCTTTATTAATTTGAAAATTGCGCAGTTAGTTTAAGTACCTTGTAATGTTTATCGCTTTTAAATTTCAGACAAAGTTAAATTTTGAACACACCAATGGCCTTGGAAGGTTCAGCCAGAGCAAGACAATGCATCTAGGGAAATAACATTACATTCAACAAGAAGAGTGTCGAATGAAATGTGGTGATAATAAACAGGATATCTCGTTTGTTTTAGGTTAGGTTAGGGATAGATTAGGCCTAGGTTAAGAGATGTTTAGAGTTAGGATTGGGATAAGGGACCAGATTTACTTTAAAATGCAATTTCTTTTTTCAACGTCATACCTGATTTCCCGTTTCTTTGGTATCTAAAGTTGAATAAACATTGCCTAAATTCACTTCTAATTTTTTCTTCATATGATTGTTGACTCATCCCTTAATAACTCTTTGTCTTCTAATTTCATTAACTTGTCTTTTCAACCTCCTCCTTTTTTCCATTTGACTTCCATAAGAGATAACTGCCCTTGGAGTTATGAGTTCTACTCATTATAATTCATCATCTTTTCGTTTGACTTCCTGACGCTGAGATTTTACAAATATAGTTTTTTTTAATGTCTAGCTACGTAATTATTATTTACTTTTTGTTACCACCCTAATATCAAATTTGTCAATAAATTTTCGAGAAACTTCTCACTATATGTATATATATCTGTTGATAAACAAAATTATGTTGAAAATTCAACACTGACTTATTTAATTAAAGATTGTAGGTTGTATGCAGTGCCAATGTTTGTTTTTTCTCCGCTCCAATTTATAAAGGGTAATTGTTTTATGAAATTCAAGTTACTGTGTTTATTTATCTTTAATACACACAGGAACAACAAATGTCTGAAGCAGTAATACAAGAAATGGATGATAATGAACGTGAAAGATATTTGAAATTAAAAGATATAAATGCGCATTTATTAAATCAATTAAGTGAAGGTCAAATTGAACTGGAACGATTAAATACAAGAAAAACTGAACTTGAAGAAGAGTTGGTTACATCACCGGTAAATTTATCTTATTCTATTTATTCTACGAATTTAATTTATGAAATGAGTATAAGTCTATGACTAGAACTATTTAGTCCCAGGTTAAAACTGTTATTCTGTCTACTGAAGTCAAAGAGATCTAGTAGCACCACACGCACTTACGAAGTATGACGCACACATCACAGCCTCATTGATTCTACAAGCATATACTACATGATTCTCGTATCACAGAAGGCACTGAAGTGAAACCAAATGAAATGTATAATCTCTTGGATTATGTCTTCCCTCTGATCTTTCCTAGTCTTCTCAAATCATGGTAATTTCTAGAAGAATATTTCGTCTAATCTTCTACTTAAAAGTATTAAGACAATCTGGTTTCACTCAGTCTCCACTTTTACAGTTTGTTAATTCTTGTATTCTTTATTGTTCCCCTCCACCTTAATCTTTCCTGGATTACTTAAGAAAAACTTTGTGACACTGTGAAGGGCACTAAAAGCTGTGGGCGGGGCGAGTAGGGTACCGCTAAACCAACCTGTTATTACTGCTGTAGATAGACAATTAAACTCATGAAAGAAATTGATGAATATCATCTTGTCAGTCTATCAACATCCTCTCTAAACACAATGCGCCCCTAACATTTCATCAGATAGGACCAGAGGGAATCATAAAAGACTTTATCCTCCGATGACTATAAAGTATAAGAAACTCTACGATACCTTATTTGGCAGGCATTTTATCTGATAAGAAAAATGTGTTGGGCATGACATAACAAACTTACTGAGAAACACCAAGTAAATGTTCCTTTTCATCCTTTCAGTCATTATTATATTGTTATCACTATTTCTATCAATTTTTATTCTTAATTTTATATTCATATTCTTATTGACAATATTATCAATGTAAATGTCCTCTTAAGTATTCCCCCTCCCCTTAATGTGTAATGTAAAGCGAAAATTAAATAAAACATTGAACCACACATTGTATCGAAAGTACTCTGCGGAATAAAGCCATTATTATTATTATTATCATCATTATCAGTTATTGAAAACAGCGGTCTAAAGACTAAATTTAATCTAATGAATCAATATCCGTAATTCCTGATTAGTGTTAAACTAATAGAAATTACTAATGAAACAACAACAACCTTAGGATAAAATTATTCAAGTAATGCATTGATATTAAAATGTGTAATCTCAAATGAAAATATGTGAGTACGTGTATGTCTTGTACAGTGTGTGTAACAGTGATAAAAGTTGAGATAAAAGGCATAAAAAGTCCTAACTTTGTGAGTGTGTGTTTGTTAGCTGGTATATGTTGAAAAAGATTTAGAGTTAGTCAAACCAAAACCTGGAAACAATCCATGAAGTTTCAGACTGTTGATTAGAGCAACACAGAGAAGTGTAGACTGCTTGTTTTCAGGCCTTAGGATACTAAGAACCAATGGCTGGAGACTGTTGGTGAAATGGCTCAAATTGGTTGCCAGTAGTAGGGATTCATTCACTGTTTGTGATCTCCTATATGCACTAAACCCCCATGTTTTCCCATTTTACTTTTTATTCTCCCCTACACTTTTGTTTGTTACAGTTTTTTAAAATCTCTTTTTCACTACCATTGTGTGTTACATAGAGTGTAGCAACTTGAACTACTGCACTTCTGTGCTAAGTTTTACGTCGAAATTCAATCGGTGTATGTGTCTAAATGATTTAAAATCGACTTAATTCAGTGTTGAAGTTTCTAATATGAAACTATTTACGCCTGTAACTGTGTCCACTATTTTTAAAACAATCCTCTTGCTGATGATAATACTTGATAAAAACTGATATGAGATCTTAATTTGACGAGCAGCACTGATACATTTTCTCTCATTATCAGCAATCACTAACTTGAGTTTTTATCTTGTTAGATTGTGGGGATATCAGTTAAATTCATTCTAGATTTCCTTGTGAAGAACCACCATCAGTTAGAAAATCTTATTGAAAACCATGAAGCACTAGACAACAGGCGTTTTATCCAAGTTTGGGACTCTTTAGCATTGCGAGTTGGCTATTCCAACCAATGATGTGAGATCATTCAGCCTGCCACTACGTAGAAATCCAATGACTCTTGAATATCTAACTTAACCTATCGCTAGGTTTACTGTATATAAACTAGTGATATTGTAGAAAGTTACAATGAACTATAGTGAATGACTAAACATTGCATTCATTCCACTGTATACAAATAATATTGGCCATTCTATATTAGAGATATGCTGTTTTTCTTTCTGTTGCCTTTCAGCAATGGCTTTACCAGTTAAAATATTAGGCCACCATTATAATCTATGGAGTGTTGGTGGTTCATTGATAGAATGTTCATCAATTAAGCAGGTGGTCGAGGTACGATTCTCGACCAACGCACTCCTATAAATGGTCTAGTATGTTCAGAAAAGAGAGAAGAATAGGCGTGAGGCTAGCAACCACTGCTACTGAAACTTCAAAGCTTGAAGTCTTATGTCCCACTTCGGACGCGAAGTAATGAAAAAACAATAACATATGCGTCAGTTAAGTCTACTGTTATAAATAACAAACACTTTAAAATTATTTGGCTGTCTAAACCGTGCCAGGTGAAGCAGGATTTTTAAATCTTTCGCCTACTAGTTAAGCGTTGAATGATGAACACATCTAGAAAGAAGTTCAAAACACGTGTCCATTAATTTTTTGCTTTTTAGTAAATTTTTTTGTTTTTTCACCTACCGTTTTGTCTCTCTTTTGCTATTGAACAAGATAAAACAAGAAGCAATGCATCTTTTTACACAACTTCGGGAAGTTGAAAGTAGACGAGATCAATTATTAGCTGAGGAAGTGTCTAAAGAAGATCCACAGAAAGAACGCCAGCGTTTATTACAACAAGTTCGAAGTGATAATCAAGAAATTGCAGCAATCGACAAACAGTAAAATATGGATTGAGAGTTCTTTTAGTTTTGATTATTATATAATCTGATTTTTCTAACAGGCCAATTAGATGACTTAGACGAGCTGGTTTTCCTGTTGGTCTCAACTGGAAATAACCCTCATGATTTTTGTACGGCCATCTATTATGCCAGACCTGCTAATTTGGCCATATGACTAGCTAACTCCTCAGCCTGGCCAATCCTCGACTGATGATAGTTAGGTTTCTGTAAACAACATCTAAACTAATGAAGACAGAACTTAGTACTTACGTCTGTTCAAGGTTATATTGAGTTAACGATAGTACTGATACATGGTACATAATCACAGCACAACGCAGCGCTCAGGCTCTAGTTCCTTGAAAATTCGATTGTCCGTAAAGTCTTTTCTGATCTCAATCAGTACAGATAAACAAAAGTTGTAGCCTTGCCTGGTGGCCTGTTTGAATTGCCGGGCCACCTGTATTTTCATCTAGCACGCAACGTATCAAATTTCCTCTAATTCTTATTGTTTCAAACGTCCACTTATGTCCCTGACTTACGAAATGTGCTAACGCGCATTTTTGAATAGCTTTCAAACTGCCAGCGGGTATGTTTTGGAGACGAGGAAAAAATACCAAAAGAGATTAATTTTCAAGTGTTGGTTTGTGAGGGTTAGACTTGTTTATACGAGTTTGACCACGGATTGATATCAGTTACAGAACCATTGAAAACCTGGGAGTAATGGACAGCTGTTTCATCCTAGTTTGATATGCTTATGAGCAATAGTTCGTGCTCGAAATGTCATCAGTTAATATTATTGTATAACAATGTGTGATTTATCAAAATAAAATCTTATGCATAGTGGAGCTATACTCTACCACCGTGCTCAAATTTTATACTTATATCAGTAGTTTGAGAATCATCGGCAGAACGCACCCCTTGGGGTTCGAACCCAAGAGTTTCCTGTTACAAGGCAAGCTCGTTTACCATCCAGCCACTGGGACCCAATTCAATGGCCCGTGAATTCTAACCTCTACCACGTCATGACTTTAGTGCCACCACCAACCAATGTCAGTGGCTGAATTGTATACAAGCTTGCCTTGTAACAGGAAACTCCTGGGTTCAAACCCCAGGGGTTGCGTACTGCCGATGATTTCCTAAATAGGATGAAACAGCTGTCCAATAATCCTAGGTTTTCAATGGTTCTGTAACTGATATCAATCCTTGGTCAAACTCGAAAAAAACGTAAGAGATTAGTTGATACTTCAGATAGAACAGGAATAAGTAACATTGTGGTGATGTGATATAGACAATGAATTCCAACGGAATATTATACTCGCATATTCCCACAGTTCAACACTGCATTAGAAACAGAATACTATATATGTATTTGAACATTCTGTTTCATGTCGCTTAATGTAAACCAAAATCACACGCTCAGTGATTGGTTAAAGAATATAAACTGTATAGATATAAGTAGCGGTATGAACACTTGAAAATATACTTTGGCTCCCGTGTCTTGCCTTCTGCTGTTACAACATGATATACTATAGATTGCTATTTTATTTGAAGATTCTGGATGTAGAAGAATATTACGCAATAAACTGAGCTGAGAATTATGTACATCTTATAGGTATTTTGTGCAGAATAAGATTATTTTAAATAAATAAAGCTTCATCTTAGGTATTCTTATGAATAGAAAAGTATATAAGAATCAGATCATATTTCATAGATTTAAATCTACTCAGATACTCCATTAGCGACCAGAACCGATTGGTTTTGGTTTAAACAAAGAGAACCGATCGTCGCGTTCTATTGCATAGCTGTCCGAAACTCGCTTGAGAAACGCACAGTCACAAAACGCTCCAAAGATAGCAAAAAAAGATTGTTTGTGATTGGATCTATGTGTCGTTCTGTTCAACAATAATAACATCAAAAACCCGAAACTACCTCAAAGTTGCTGTTAGGCAGAAATACAGGTAATGTAGGTTTCTAAGTACAGAAGGAGTATTTAGAATCAAGTAAAATATTCCCAGTAAGGATGGATCAAAAGTCTCTGTCTAGAAGAATCATACGCTGATGCTTCCCGCAAACAGTCCAATATCAGAATCACCTTGATTCACTTAAACAAAATTACATCGTACAACAAATCATCAATATACTCACAACTACAAAGAGAAGCATTAAAATTAGAGATTAAACAAGCATAAAGACAAATGATAAGGATCAAATCACCGTGTGATATGCAAATGTCAAAATAATGAAATACAGTGGGGGAGAAAAATGGCTAACAATTACAAAGTTAGTTGAAATATCCAAATAAGTATAAATATTGTGATTAGATTGTTCAAGAAGGATTTTCCAAACAATTTTTCCGTCACCTCATAAGCGTACTGTGTTACAGATTTTTGTCGTTTTAGAGTTCCGAACCGTAGGGTTAAGCATTCTAGCTAAGAATAGAAAGTAGTATTTCTGATTAATTTTGCATAACTGAACTGTAAACGATTTGTCTATGTTTGAGTTCGATGCACGCCAATGATGTTGCTGTTGACGCTGATAGAAACGAATAGAAACAATAGTTTCTTTGAAACTGAAGATATTCAGTACACAACATTATTTTTAAGTGTTTTTTTATTGCATCTTTTAAATGATTCAATTTTCTTCGCATCAAACTCAGTGGTTTGAACGTAGTTCGAATACTTATCATATTCAGGTTTCTTCAAACTGGAAACATGTAATAATGCTATCGATTTCTTGGTTGCCATTAATGGTATCAAGCACATTGCACTTTATGATCTGGAGAATTTCGGTTTCAAAGGAAAATTTGAAGTGTGTAAATTACAAATCGCTAATTAATTTGTAGAAACGCGAACAGAAAAACTTGATTCTACATATTACCAGTTTACCCAACTAGCTAGCCAAAATTCGGATGAGTCAAACTGGCAACACTGCTGAGAAGCTCAGCCTCAAGCGACCGAAATAGCTGTTTAGCTGACTATAATCTTGCTGTTTATTAAGCACTACCGAATGATACAATTTGTAACTGACTACTTATATCAAACAACCAGTAGTGTAAGTAGCATAGTGCAATAAACAATCAAATCTCTGCAAACCAACACTAGAATACCACTGATACATGTATGGTAATACTACAGTCTTTTGATAGTCAGTGACATTTATGATTACCTGTAGCTTGGTTATCGTGAGTAAATGCATAAATAAGGAAATTCTAACAGCTGATGCTTGCAAGAAGTATTACTTTGATTAAAAGCTTATCATTTTGTATAATCCAATGTGCTTATAACAAAGAGACATTTTCTTTTCTCTTTGAACCTTAGAATACATGAAATCCAAGAGAAGATGACGAATAAAGAAGAAGAACTAAGATTATTAGAACAAGAATTAGATGAAAGTCGTAATGAAAGAAATCAAAAATATCGTGAACTAAGAAAACGTGAACATCAAATCGATGAATTTTTAAAAACGTTTGATAGTGTAAAGGTATTTCTTTTTGATTTCTAATTATATTTGTGTAAGTGTTTTTCTACATCTCAGTAACATTTTAACCGAGTGATATGAATATAGTTTACGTTAACTATTCACGGTTAATCGCATGACTCGTTGGCTCGAGCAGGTTAAAGCCTTACTTCGGCTAACTATTCTTGAAATTAAATCAGTTAGTGAGGTCTAGTGTCCGCTGATTTCTATTTTACAGGTAAGAAGTGAATCCTAATGAACTGTGTGCTAACAAACCGCAGAATCGAGGAGAATGCCTCATTTCGTTTTTATCTTATTATGTCATACTTGGTGCAGGCATAACATCCAAGTGGCCAGTTAAATAGTGTGTTCTGCTCAGCATTCCGTTCTGTTTTAATTTAAGCATTTGAGCGATGACCTCTGAAGGCAGATTTGAAAGGATCATTGTTTTTTGTTCCTAGATATCTTCATGTAGTTGCTTACGTGCAGTCGAGGAAAAATGAGTAGTGTTATGTCGTTGCAAACTTGGCTGATAAAATTCAGTCTGCACCAATACCAAGGACGAGGTATTACATTAGCTGCTGCCTAGTGTCTAATCTAAGTATCCATTACAGTCCTACAGGAATCTATTACGAGCCCGAATAGCTCCGTGGTACCATCTCTGACTGCAGCATTAGGTGACCCGGGGTCGGACCTCGCAAGGGACTTGGATTCCATTAAAATTGCAGATACGTGATGCTGATGACTGCCAACAAGCACATAATCTACGTCCAAGGCTTCTTTCCTACTGCCTAAAACTATACAACAATGTTATATCAAAAAGGATTAGGTTGGTGGTCTGAGATGTTTAGTGTCCGTCTAAAATTCTTAGTAATTTAAGAATCAATAGTGACATTTGATGAAGTGACGGAAAATTATTCCAAGAGTGGAAAAATGGGACTGCATCTTCTTCGTCTCCCAAGTTCTGAAGAAACTTATGAAACTCCATTAAATTATTACGTATTCTATACATCTCTACCAGTTATTGAATCGTTATATATCCTCAGTTTTCTTCATTATAGATGAGATTTTATTTTGATAAGTCACACAGTGTTGTACAGTAATATTAACTGATGACGTTTCGAGCACAAATTATTGCTGACAATCATATCAAGTCACTCACACAACTTTTTACTTCATTTATATGCATGAGTGAAATTGATTAGACATTTGAATAAAAATCAATACAAGATAATGTACATTCACAATTAATATTAGTGTTATCAATCAAATACAATCAGATGGGAAATAAGACGAGTGTTTTTATAGTCATAATAAGTAACTTGTTAGAATGTTATGATGTACGTGAATTGAAATAGAATTTTGAGATTATTTATTATCCTCCTCTGATTTGACTGGTGGTAATAATATCTTCCATATATTTGGTATTTGCATTGAGTCACTTCCGTTGCATCTGGTGGGTGTAGACTCGATAAACCAGAATTCAGTAGTTAATCTCTCTCTCTCCACCTACCTATATTACTTCTGAGAATTTTAACCTTCTCCCGCCCTGTCCTGTGGTTGTGTGTTAATGCATGCAGTGCAATCGCTGAGCGTTTTTCTAAATTACTTATCTTCTTGAGGTCAACCATTTTTACCTTAGCTAAATTCTTATGTTCCGACAATCTGACTACCCCCAACCTACTAGTTTGACCTATCTAGTTGACCTCACAGTCATTGCAAGGTATTTTGTAAACTATATAATTTTCTCTAATTGGGTCCACTGGGTCTTTTAGTCTACAGAGCTCCAAAGCTTGTCTCTGAGTGAGTTTGTAGGCTTAAATGCCAATCTAATTCCTGCTTTATTGAGAGTCCTACGTAGGGTCTCAGATGTCCCCTCCTCATATGGTATAACTGTAGATGTCTTATATTCTCTCTTATTTATGTTATCATTATTAGTTTCCCCATTATTTTTATTTTGCTTTTGATCCTTTTTGATATTCCTAATGAATTTTATAGGATAGTTATTTGATACCAACACTTATTGTATCTGTTTTATTTGATCGTTTAGGTCTTTTTGTGCTATTACTCGGTTTTTGTAGACTTTAATTCATCTCATCCGTTGTCTGTAAAGGCGGGACTAATAAGGTGTCTGAAAGTCCTGAGTTCATCTTTTGGTCGGGTCGTGAGTACACAATGGTGAAGAGTCCAAAACTAGAACAAAACCGCCATCCAGTACTCCCTGGTTTTCAATTTTATTTCGTTATTATTACTCTTAATGTTTTTATTTTTGTTTCAGTCTTTAGAAATATCTGGAATTAGTGAATTAGAGTCAACTATTGTTGAAATCTTAGAAACAACATCACGTTATATTACTAATTTAAATCAAATGACATCAAATTTGAATATGAATAGTAATTTAGACTTATTGTCATCATCATCAGCAACAGGAGCGGGAGCAACAACAGTGAATTCTTTGCGTGAACAACTCGATTTTAAAACAAATGAAATTTTTAAATCTGAAGAGACTGTAAACAGTTTGGCAAAAGAAAGATTACGCTTAAATCAAGACTTGTTGAAAGTTGATCATTTAGAGGGAAAAATAACCCAAGTGAGTTGATTATGTAATCACTTGATGAAATAACTGTCTACTATTTCGAAATCTTTTCATTTTTTAAAGATTTTTTGAAAGCTTTTTCTGTAATTAGTGATTATTCTTTTAATCGAATTGTTAGTTTCCTGGTTTAATTGACTACTTTAATTAAGTGACTCGCAGATGGGAATTTCACAGCATCCATTGAGCAGAGAGTTAGTACAAATAATGTTGACTTAATGATTGTAGAGTATTGCCAAGAAGATGGTATTACACTTCTGTTTTCTTTCTCATTTCATACACTAGAAAAGTTTTCTTTAGGAATAAATGTCATTACCGTATGAGAAAGTGGTGAGTCGATGGTTCAGCAGTAGAATGTTCACCGACCACGCCAATAGTTCTGGATTCAATTCCCAGCCGATGCATTCCTAAACCTCACCTAGCTGGTAGTAACCCATATAAAAAAGGAAGGTTTAGCTAGATGACTAGACTAGCTACCCTGACCCGTAAATATACAAAAATAGGCTCTGAAACTTTAAAGCTCAAAGCTTGGAGCCCTATGTTGTACTTGGAAGGTAGAGGAATAGAAAAAGTAAGTGATATCATGACTCCCTTTGTGATGTTGAAACAAAATAATGGTGTGCTTTACACGAACTGTATTGCTGCACATTACTTAAAGTTCATAAATGCAACTTATTGGATCTGAAATTGTTCATTTATACTAACTTTGTGAAGTAATTAACATTCATTTTAGTTTTAATTGCATTTCATATTATTATTATTATTTCATGCATTCACACCTATGTTTCAATTCCCTCACCGGATATAACTTCTTAAAAACCATATATATACGATTGTACAGCTTGATGATAAATTCGTTGAAAAGAGTCTCTTCGCTGAATCATTTGTTTTGATTTTCTATAATTAACATTCAACTAGGTGGGATAAAACAAGTTAGGCTTTAATGAGAAATACTCCCTGATGACAGTGAATAGTGATTGCGTCATACTGCAAAAGTTGTGTAGCAGAGATGATTTTGTACTAATTCCAGTAGTGGTGTAACAGTAAAAGACAAAAGATTTGGTAATGGAAAGTTTATTCGAAATTTGATATCTCTAAAAAGGGAAATTAAGTACACCTTATCTTCAAATCACCATTTGCGTAAATCTTCCATGTTATGCTACTTCTGTCCTTCATATTGTATTTCTTTGTCTTCTTTTCGTTTATCCCATGTTTTGCCGCAACACTGGTTCATTTTTGCACTTTAAGGTCAAATCTATCTCTCCGCTATTTGATATTCTTGTGCCTATGAACGCCTTTTTATATACTGCTGATAAATCTTGTCAGTAGCACACGCCACAGTAGTAGTAGTTCAATGATAACGTGCTCACCTTGTTATCTCACGAATATAGTCTCATTCCAGTGTATAGTAACGAGTGGATACTGGTAAACAGTCACCAACTAGAATCTGACAGTTCGGTATTCTTTGGTTTATAATGAAACTCATTGAATGGACTCTTTTTATCAATCACAATAGAAAAATGAGGAAGATTTTTTTCAGTTATTTCATTATGTGATTTTCTTACTTCATATCTACGGTTTTCTTTTTGTTCTTAATAAACAACTGAACAGAAACTCTATTCACATTTGTGTTTTTGTTAAAAGGAAACGGAAACTCTCAGAAAACGTATTGCTAAAATGGAGGAAGAGGTTATCATTTTCAGTGATTTAGATAAAGTTCGTGAAGAAGCTAATTTCAAAAGACAAACCGTAAGTTTTTTCTCAATGGATATTACTCTCTTTTGTTGCAAACCCGTAGTAAAAGGACTCTACGTTAGTCTTTTCACCTGTAGTATTCATTCCTGGATAAGATGGCTTGGATAGTAGATACTTTTAATCGTAACCAGGAGCTGAGTTCATTTAGAGAACCACTGGAAACCAAGGAGTATTCGATAGCTATTTCGCCCCATCCTGTGACCCTCCAATGGTACGCTCCCGCCGGGGTTCAAATTTAGAACTGGTTACAAGGCAAGCTCGTAGACCAATCAGCCACTAGAACCCGATTCACTGGGCCATGAATTCCAACTCGCAATATATAGTGCAGTGACTACCCAGTGTCATCGACAAGTAACTGTCCTGGTGACTCTAAACTATAGCAGCCCAAAACGAAACTATCTAGTGAACTGATTAATGACCTTGGGCGACCAGTCAGATGAGTTCGTATTATATAGGCGGAATTATGGATGATGTGCAAGAATTACGCAGCAAATTCCATCCAAACCTAGTACTAAATACTGCTTGTTAGGGAGAAAACGTGTATCCAACTGTCGTCCCTGGACTATATTCATAACGGAGTGAATAACACGGACGACTTCGGTAATCCCTTCGATGAGACTGACACAAATTCCGTTGAAAGATCCTAGAGTCATCTAGAAAAGATGATCGGAACGGTAAATGAGTCAAGAAGCAGGATTACTTACAGTTATCTCAATGAATTTAAGCATAGAAATTGGTTTAACCTAACTATGAGGATTCATGTGAGGAATTGGAAGCCTTTCTTGGAACATATACAAGGAAGTTATTCTATGTAACTACTTCTTAAAGTTACATTACTTATATATAAACCTCTTTTCAAATTACGCACTTCTGCTTCTGACTCGTCTGGTTGGTCGATAGAGATTCGCCAAGGTCTATTATTAGGTAGTTTCATTTTGGGCTGTTATAGCTTAAAGTTACCACTGTCCTGTTACCTGACTTGGTAGAACACAGTGGGTTCGAACCGCAGTGGGTGCATACTGACGAAGAGTCCCAAACGAGGGCGAAACGGTTGTTCAGTACTTCCTGATTGTTTCTAATAGTTTTTTGACTGATGTCAGCTGGTGATCAAATTTGAAATCATTATTATTATTTCTTGACAAAAGACTGTATTTCCCTTAACATTTTGCTTATCTGTTGTTTTCCATTTTCCTTTCTTGTTTCAATTTTCAGTTGAATGCAGAGAAATCCCGCTTAAATGTTTATCGTGATAATTTAAACAAATTAAATCAGCAATTAGCTACAGAATATTCAAATTTACAAACAAATTTAACTGAACAGGATACACATATGCATTTAACAAATTTAGAACGTCGTTGGGCCCAACATGAACAAATTAATTATAGTTTAAGTGAATTTATAGCAAATAAACGTCTAGAAACAGATCACACACAATTAGCTAAACGTGCAATGCAGCTGGTTAAAGATTATAATGAAAATTTAAAAACTTCTCTTGCGTCTAAACCTGTGATTACATAATCATCTTTCGGTGTGTGTTTATGGGAATAGCAGTAATTATATCGTATGCATGCAGGTATTGTTTGTCATTCTCTGACACTGTTTTATGTTGTATAAACACGGGTATATACTTGTAGTCAGTTATTCTCGGATTGGTTCAAAGGTGTTGTCACTGGCAAGATTAGTCGCCGTATCTGTTTATGAAAACGAAGATATTATACTTTAAGTGTGCGTCGGTGGCACATCGGTAGAATGCTCACCAACCACGCCGGGATTTAATCTCCGGCCGACGCACTCTTTTACCTCGCCAAGCCAGTAGCAAGACTGGTAAAGAGGGAAGGTTGGGCATGAGGTTAGCAACCCCATCCCGTAAAAATAAACACCACTGCTACCGAAACTTCAAACCTCTAGCGTGAAGCCCTATGTTCTACTGGGAATGTAAAGGAATAAAAAAATACTCTCAGTTATCACTTGGTAATGTTTAAAACTGATTGCTCTCTCTGAGCTGAGTATACACCTCTGATGAGCTCAGTCACGGCCGTCCAGTGGTTAGATTACTTCGATCTAGCCAGCAAACGCTACTGATTGATGTGATTAGTATCCAATTACTTATATTGCATAAATATATTGTATACTGTTGTGAACAACCTCCCTGTAGAAAATCTACTCAAAACGAAAAATATGTTAAATGCGTGTATGTGTTTGTGTGCCTTTTTAATCATCACCTAGTAAGGTTTTGTCTACCATAATTATGTAATATAATCATCATTACATGCAATCACTTATTTCGCTAGTGTGTCGGTGGCATAGCGGTTAGGACGCTCGCCGACTATGCACATGGTCCGGGGTTCGATCCCCGGCCGACGCACTCCTTTACCACGCTAATCCAGAAATAATGCTGGTAAAGAGGAAAGGTTGGGCATGAGGCTAGCAACCTCATCCTGTAAAATAAACACTGCTACAGAAACTTCAAGCCACTAGCTTGAAACCCTATGTTCCACTGGGGAACATGAAGGGAAAAAAGACTTATTTCGCTATCTCATATTTGAAAAGAGTCTCTTCGCTGAATATTGTGTTCTTAATGCTACAATGGGAATTATTAAATTATTTCATATTTGACTATGAATAAATTTTGTAGAGTGTGATAATTCAATAGTCACACTTTTCAGGATAAATAAGCATTATCAGTCCCAAACAGTGATAACTTGATATGATATAGGGTACTTACTACTCATAATGTAGATGGCTAGATTAAATTGTCTCCTGTGCTGCACTGCTGATTGACATAAGCTTGAACACTATTGTTAACACCTCATGGGGAAGTGAAGGAAATTAACTAATGTAGGAAATGTAAGAATACCATACCAGACGTAGTTCTATTTACAGAAGATGAATGATTCGATGATTTCATACACTTGGGCAGGATAAGTTCGTACACACAGGCAACATTCTACAAATGAGTTGTAGGTTGAATAAGAAATCGTGACCTGTGGAACTAAGTTATTTGGATAAAGGAAGTACTGACCGATAATTTCTAAGACCTAATTTTACGGTTGTGAGGTGCCAGACTCCACTTAATGATAGATCTATCAGCTCGTAAATCATTACCATGATTGTGGAAGCTCTTCATTTTCCTCTTAGAGAAAAGAGGGGATAAGAACTATGAGCTAGAAAATAAAGCGCATTTCTAGGCATCATTATATTTACAACTTAGTGTCAAGTGAGTGTTAGACCATTCTCGCTGTTTTCACGGCTTATTATTCCCTTAGGTTACCAGTGGAACATAGAGCTTCAATAACACACCTTATCACTCTGTTCTCCGTAGTCCTCTTTAGCTGGCTCCTTGAATTCTAACTTCTGCCAGTGGTCGCGCTATGTTGTGAATTGGTGAGCTCGTAGACCATTGGATCGGGTCCCAGTGGCTCAATGGTCTGCGAGCTCGCCTTGTAACCAGAAGGTCCTGAGTTCGAACCCCGTTTGGTGCACACTGATGAAGAGTCTCAAACTAGGAGGAAACAGCTGCCCAGTTCTCCCAGTGGTTCTCTAACTGATGTCAGCACATGATGAAATCCTCCATGCAATATAATCATTTGTTTGTTGATATCACACAGTGAAACAGTGTCATTTTTTGGTTGGGGCTTTGAACACAATTTAATGTTGATAATCATGTCAACTGTTACTCAGTGCAACTTCGAAAATCGGCTTTTATGGCTCTCTCGTTTTTCTTTCCCATTTGTCATAAGGGTAGTAGAATTTTCCGGATTTACAGGTGGACAGATGGTGAATCATTCCTATTTTATGTTTTGTCATTTGATTGGATAAGTAAAGCTCTCCTTCCATCCTGTCGCATCCGATTTCACGATTGCGATTTGCCTCTGTCCTATTGTAACTGCATGTAGGACTAAAGCTGAGCTTTTTTTCTAGCTGCCTTACTGCACCCTTTTGGTCTAGATTTAGCTGAGATTTTGTGTTCCCCTAATCTAATATTCACACCCTCCTACTGCTTTAAAATCGCAAGATAAACTAAACTGTTTTGTTTGATGGCTTCCACAGAATCCTCTAACGGATGTAACATCTCCTGAGTTTGACTGCCATCTTCATTTCTGTCTCCTCAGTAATCGTATGTAGGGTTCCAATCTTTCTCTTTCTATGTGGCAGTACTACCGATGTTTTAAAATCTCTCTTCCTGATGTAGTCATCTATCTGTATATGATTTTTATTTATGTCGCCTTTATTGTTCGTCTTATTTTCATCCATATAATTTCCTATATACTTTCTGATTAGTTTAACCGGGAATTTATTGAGTTTCAGATCTTCTCTTATGTATCTTACTTCCTAGTGATTTTCTTTGGTACTATCTAGCTGTTTTATTGACATAATTCACTGTTCCTATTTGCACTGGCATGCATTAGGATGAACCGAAATCCAAATATTGGATTGAATAAGGGGACAGGTTTTCTGTAAAAACTAGTGTTTAACTTCCCATCGTGACTTTCCAACCCCTAAGTAAATTGAAATACGTCCAATGTTGAAATCGTTTGTTCATCAAACCCATTTATATATTGTATTTTTATAGGAATGTCAGTGTGTTATCTGCATATCTTTACCAGACTTTGAAAACAGGACAGAATATTTCAGTAGCTTACTTCCCCACTTATCCACAAATATATTTACAACAATCGGACCAGACTATTAGACGCTAAGAGGATAAGAAATGCAAAAAAAACGCAGCTACATCATTACGCGCAGTTATATAAAACCATACAATAGGATGGGATAAGATGATAGTTTTAAAATCTAATATAACAGGGAGGGGGTGCAGAGATTAATAACGGAAGCTTTATAAATCAAATTAACTGAGAATACGTGCGATAGAAATGATTCAACACCTGTCCACCTGGATATCTGGAAAATTCTACTGCCTCTATGACGAATTGGAAGAGTTAAAGTAAACTATAAAACTCGGGTTTCGAAGCTATCTAGTGACAACTGATACGATTCAGAGCAACAGATTGTGTTCGAAACTTTTTCGTCCAGTAAGTAATACTGTTTCACTGTGTCATATATCCAATAAAGAAATCCTTATGAAATTATGTCATGCTTTACATTCTACACGTAAACAATGTTAGATGATTGGAGGCAATCGGCAAGAAGTCTTTGACCTGGGTTTCCTGCTTTCTGACACTTGTCAGCAAGGTGTATCTGTAACCGCGATGAAACTCATTCAGTTTGCACTAAACCAAAAGCTAGACACATAACATTAGTTACTAACTAGTGTCCACTCAAAACAGGCAAACAATCGTCAACGGAAAGAAGTGTACGTGTCAGTCAACGTTAAGGTGACTCTTAACATAAATAATCATAATAATAAAACTTTATAAATATTTATTCACTGCATTAAAACATTTATGCAGAAAAAACAAACAAATAACTAAATGTACAAATTTGTGATGCACTAGTCACTACTGCGAAAGAAATATAAATTCCTAGAGAACAAAAGATAACTTATTGGGATTTGCTTCAAAAAACAAAGAGGAAGTCCTTCCATTTCAGTCTTTAAAAGGTTTGAAATTTTAATAGTATGAAGAAATTTTGCCATAATATGCAATTTGTTTTCTTTAGCCAGTAATTTATGAGGTATAAATATTGCCTACATAGTGCATCAAATTGAGTTTGAGAGAACCACGAAAATAAAAACAGATGCATCGTTTTAAACTACTAACACACGATAAATAAGTAGTTAAAATGACTTTTGAGGATATTTCTTCTTCTCATTATTATTAAAAACAAGGCATAGCTTAAAAAAAGGCTGACAGGTGGGTGATAGATTATTTCAAACATATTACATGCTTGTAATATGATAGATAGCTAGCAAGAAATATATGTGGATGAAATTGCACATAATGGATGTTGTGTTTTTCAAAAAAGATACTAATATTAATTCAAATACAAAATTAGTGATACTAAATCACAACTTACATATGACAGTGAGTGTTTGAGAGAGAGTAGCAAGAACAAACACACTCTTAAAAGCAAAAAAACCACCTGATGAAAACAAGTGGGAGAAAACACGCGAAAATAGGTTGCTTTGCGTTGTTCAAAATAAGAAAAGAAATAAATGAATTCATATTATTATTATTATTATGATTGGAAAAGGAGAGTGAGTATAAAAAACAAACCGAACAATAACTCAAACCTAAATATTGTTACTCAACAATCACTTGCATTTCCATGCAATTGGCGACGAGTGTGAAGGCTGATAATATTGCCAAGAGCTGTCCAAATGTCGATGATGGTGGGTAGGTGGAGCAGAGTTCTAAAACTGTGACTCACTACTACTACTGGTTGGAAGTCGAGGAGCGCCCAGGCGGACAATAAACCACAGCGCCAACAGGAAAAGACACATCAATGGACTCATAAAAGCCAAACAAACAAGAAGAATACGATTATGCAGAATAAATAACTGGGCCCAAAGTACACAGAAACACACGCACATACAACAAAATCATGCAATAATTTATATTAGGTTCGATTTGTAAAAGATAGTTAATTGATTAATTAATCTTAAAATAAGGCATTATGTACCGGGATTTATGAAGCCTGATGATTAGACATAAAGGCAAAACGATTGATTGTGTTAGTCAAGAAAAAGTAAACATAAAAGTGTATATGAGGTGTTATAGTTAAAAAGACAACCGGTGGTAAATAAGCAACAAGTAAATACAATTCAGATGTAAATAACAGCTAAAAAACAAACAAACAAAACGGTTAAAAAAGAAGGTGAGACTAGTTTGCATATTATGAGAGAACCAGAGTACTCATTTAACTGCCACTATTATTATTATTCTATATAATCGATAGTTTGACAATTAGCCGTTAACTGTAAATCAGGATCACTAGCCCATTTACGATTATCTATTGAAAATTTTAACAGATTTCCTTGTTGTTGTTGATGCTTATATACACGAATTGAATTAGGCATTCTTAATTGTGAATGTATATTAATACTTTGATTAGTGGCAGCAGTAGTAGTATTAGGATAATTTCCATTGACAGTTGTACCATTATTATTATTACTATTATTACTAATGTTATTAACGTGATTATCTTCATTATTGTATAATCGTTGACGCTGAAAACGTCGATGATATGATGTTTTACGTGATAATGATAAGAAGAGTAGACCACTATGATCACGAGATGTAGTTGTATAATGGCTAGATGTACACATAGATGATGAACGACTCAATGAACTCATGCATCCGGGAAGAATAAATCTATGCAAATCAGGTGGTAACAGATTACGTACATGAGCAGTACGCTTTTGTAAACGTTTTAAACGTGGACTAAAGACTTTATGATCGGCTGTAACGCTATCGTATTCTTTATCATTATTATTACATGATGCATAGCGTTGACGATTTAACTGATAATATGAATGACGTTCATCTTCTTCGTTAGAATTTTTAAGTCTATAATAAAATTTACAAATAAATAAACAGTGATAATTAATGGTATATATATATATATATTTGATAGGCGTAGACTATCAACAGAATCCATCTTATGCCTTGTATAAGATACCTACTGATTCGATGAAAAATTATCTTAATCAACTAACTACCAAAGAAGGAGGTCACTTATTTTATTTGCTTGGGTAGCATCATTTAAACTACAGGCAGTGGCACGGAGGGGATGCTGAAGACGGACAAGATTGAAAAGGCAAAGCATACGTTCTCACTAATCTAAAATCAGTGAGGAAGTCTGCTGTACTAAGTATAAAGAACAAGATTTGGATTTTCAACATTAACATGAAGTCAATCAATTCTTATGTGCGATTCAAAGACATGGAGCGGCACGAAAAGTACTACAAACAGGCTGCTGCAGAATTTCACCAACAGCTGCCTACTTCGCTTCATAATAAAGATCAGATGGAGAGCCAGAAAGGATTAGCAATAAGGGGCTTTGGCGGGCGAGGAGACCATTGGAGCAATATAGCACATCAGACAGGCCTTCGGGTGCAACCCGGATGGGAAACGATGAGTTGGATGTAGGCCCGAAGGTGACGCGGAGGAGAACGAGTGAGGAGGAAATGAAATTTTACGGTCAATCAAGTGGCCGGCTAAAGACGACCGCAGAGAACAGGCTGAAATAGAAATGTGCACTTGAAGCCCAATGTTCCTTGTCAGAACCCAAGGGAATAATAATATCCCTTGTATTGTGGATGCACACCTGTATTCCAGGAAGTGCCACCTACTGGGGCTCGAACCCAGTATTCAATCAGTCAACTATTATTGAATGGGAACCAGTTGTTGTTAATTGAAATTTGTGAGTTTCTCATTGTTTTTTTTAAAAGATTTTACCGGACAGAAATGATTCGTCTCCACACTGGCTTCTAGAATTGATAGTGCCTTTGGAATTAAATCAGTAGTAGAAATTCGGAAAATCTCAATAAAATAACAATGTTTATAAATATGCACAACATTTGATATTTGTTTTTCAGTAATTGGCTGAAAGATTTTAAAACTACAATAATATTAAACAAGCTCAGTTAGTGAAAAGATTTCATTAAGAACTATCGTGAAATGAGGAATTATTGAGAACAAACACAGGCTAGAAAACCCAGTTTATCGATCTTGATATATTCAAGCTTTTTGCCAGTGTTCACCAAAGACTTCTTGAGAAAGAAGTCAAGTCTAAGTACATCAAATTACCAAGAGAGCATTTTACTATTCAGTGAATACATCAATCGGAATCCAACTTCCGTTGATTGATTATTGATACAGCTTTGTAAACCATCCACTGTCGTCGCCTACAAGTATCCTCATATCCAACACGGTTTACCCTAACGGTTACACATTCCTATGCATATCAATACAAAGTAGTTCACTAGAAAATACGCAATCTCTTGTTGATATACAAAGTTCAAAAGCCCGCGGCTAACACAGGAGGGCAGTTAATCCAGTTCTCTAATTGACTTCGATTATAGTAAAAATTCGGATATGAACCTGTCACTAACTAATATAATTTCGTCAATAGCTGAAATGGCCAAGTGAACCTAAACGTAAGTATATTGATATAGAATGCAACAGACGATTCAACTGAAATGCTAGATACGCTTATTCATCTTGAGAACCTTCCGCCTTACTGAATCACGTAAATATCAAAAGACAAAGACTGGTCTATGACTGTTAGGATACAGACGGCCGACTGACAATGACAATGATAACGAAGACCACTACAAACAGGACGAATACGACGATCATTTATTAGACAAAATATGTGGTTTACGAAACCTCAGGAATTTAAGCCATATGTAAACAAATCATCTGGCAAAGAAAAAGATTTACAACAGATGATGAAATTTTGCAATGAGGTCAAAGGTCATCCTGATCTACAGAATGAATTCTACAACTACTGACTTAAAACATTGATTAGATATGATAGAGAAGATTTGTAGCTCAGGTGGATGATTTTGATGTGGTTGTGTTCTCTGAGCCGGATAGCTGATTTGCGTTGATTAGTATTTTTAGCCGCTTCCTATCAAATTTAACATAAATCTTGATAAAGTAAACACACCTAGTATATATATATATATATATTGGTTACTAGGGTATTAACAGTGTCATTTGTCTATTCTTTACTGGTGCTGACTGAAATTTTCAATGCAGTCATTAATCAAGGAGACCCACGTTCGTGTTACACTGTTCTGAATTAATGTTAGGTGATTGGAGCCAATCAGAAGAAATCCGCAAACCTAGGTTTTGTGCTAACTGGTACTTGTCAACAGGGTGTATCTTGAAGGGATTGATCGTCCCTTTGAAATTCAAATTCACACCACCGAATGCTATCTTCAGCTAAATCACCACATTCAAATAAAACTCTCTACAATTGAATAGGAACTGAAATCTAGTCAGCAAACAAGTGGGCCTAGCTAACTTAGTTGATTAACTATCGAGTTTGAAAATTGGAGGGAATTGATTCAAATCTTATTGCAACGGAGAATATTGAGATACCCACAAGAAAAAGAGCAATCTCATTCACTTGTATTCTGTAATAAAAGGCTACTAAACATACTTGGCAAGTTTCATGAAATTACATCCCGAATTGATTTTACCAGCATCATCTTGAGCATTATCGTCACGATGGTCATCTGTCACATCGTTGTAAACATGAGAATTATCTATCACTGGCAGTATATTTAAACACGTTGCACTAAGTGAACGGGGTCGGACAAGTAGACAGCCAAGTTGAGGATCACCAAAATTTTGATATGTCCACTTCTCTACATCTAGTGGAATAAAAGCATAAAACAATAACAAAAATGATACTATAATAGACTTATTATCAAAAATAGAGATGAATTGCTTGCAGCTGTTCTGTCTCCTATTTTGTTCGAGTGGATAATGCTTGTGTGTCGGGGATTCGGCAGTAAAATGCTCGGTAATCAGTCACGTAGTTTGGGTTCGATTCCTAAACCTCGACTAGCCAGCAGTAGGCCCGGAAAAGAAGGAAAAATGGGCATGAGGCTAGTAATAACCCCACCCCGTGGAAAAAGAATGACACCCCTTCTACTGAAACTTTAAAGCTTATTTACAGCTTCAAGCCTTATGTTCCACTCGGAACTTAAAGGAACGCAAAAAGTTTTTCTGTTTGAAATTCAAACCAGTGTAAATTATTGATAAGTTTACTTTGATCAATTGATAGAAATCACTACGAATTCTCTACATCATTTCTTCCTTACCCGTCCTCAATGTACAAACCTGTAGTTAAAGAAACTGTAGTTGGTTAGCTTAGATGGATTCCACCTCTTTCTGTTAATCATACAAACATTTACCTGTTCACATAACAAAGCAGACAATTGAAGGTTTAAATTTACTTCAATGTTTCGCTTCATCAGTTTGATAACAGAATATACATATGTAATACAACTATACAACTTACCATATTCCCATGAAACACCATTCAGGATATTTTCATCAGAAAGAAGAAATTGTAATTTTGCAGGGAACCCATTTTTGTCGCCATCATCAATCAAGTCCATGTCACATTCTTCGTCATCATTTAGATCTAACTGCCGTTCATCATCATCTTCGTCATCGTCTACTTGTGAAGTAACAGTAGTTACTGTTTCACTATCCATACCACCACTGCAACCTCTACCACCAGCATATCGAGAAGTTGCACAGCGACGAAGGGAAGTTTGACGTGAATGGGAATGATTAATTTCAGTGCTCCCCGGTAGTAAAAATAAATGGGGTCGATGTAAACTAGAAGATGGTAACAAGTTCAATCCGTCTATAATTTAAAAACAAACATGTTAACATGAAACAGAAAGTATTTTTCAAACAATTCAGTTAGCGTTATGAAACGTGTAATATATTTCGAACATATAGATTATAGGGTTTTGTTGGATATGGATTAGTTTCAATGTAGATTTCATCACAAACCAACATAAGTTAGAGATAACTGAAAACCTGAGAATACGGGGCAGGTGTTTCGTCCTAGGTTGGAACTCTTCATCAGGGCACACCTACAACCTCAACCAGGAATTGAACCAGAGACCTCTAGGATACAAGACCAAGCTCATTGACTATTCGGCCACCTGGGTCAGAATTCAATGATCACTTGTGCATCCTAACCTTCTCCACTTCGTGACATAGTGCCACCTTCAACTAATGTCTTTGATGAGTAACCATTCCATCTTCATGTAATGGACTCCACTGATCACGACTTCTCAGTACAGCTTCAGAACATTCATCCAATAGTCACCAGTGAACTGGAGATCAATATTTACATAATTGGTTTCCCACGTTAAGATGAGTTAGGTGCTCACCACAGGCACTGATCGAGGGTAGAACTTTATCATGAAGTGAGAAAGAATTAATGGGGTGGTGTAATGGGTATATGCTACTGAAGAGTCCTGAACAAGGACGGAACAGATGGTCATTACTCCTTGTTAGTTTTCAATGGTTTATTATTATTATTATTATTATTATTATTGTATCCTTTAATTCCTACAGGAACATAGGGCTTCAGCCGTGCGTCTCCATTGTGTTCTGTTCTCTGCTAGAGTCTTCACATGGCTCCATGTCTGCCCACACGTTTTCATCTCCTCTTCACATGACCTCCTCCAAGTCACCCTTGGACGGCCAACTCAATTCGTGAAGATTACTCATGGTCTTCCCAAGAATTCAGTTTTAGTCATTTAGAGATAGAGGAGGCTACAAATTACATCCTTTATACTTCAATGAATACACGATAATCAGTTTTTGAAAAGTATCTAATTTAAACCTACAAGATGCGGCTTAGCTATCACACGAAAAGACGAGATAGGTGAGAATAGGTGAAAATGTTTATAACTTATCGAAAATACTATTTGAGAGTATAATATTAATAGTGCTATCAGTGATCTGAAAGGTTTAGTAGTTTGCAATACAACATATATGAAATACACACCTAATACAGAGTTTTATTAGATGAACAATTATATTGATACAATGCTTCACAATCCAGTTTAGTAAGTACCTTCATATATCAAGTTAATGATCATGCACATGCAAATGTTTTCGAGAGATCGGCAGCAAAATTCTTAAGATATGGATTGAAATGAAACATAGACAGGCTTGCACAATTTTAATCCACAATGCGAAAAAGACTCAAATGTCTGAAACCATTGAACTAGACAAACTAGACGGATGTGTAAAACTATGTACTACTGATTGATTGAAATGAGTAGTTGTGTACCACTCACATCAACCAAATCGAAGTAATCAAAACACCGTTCGGCTGATTAACGGTGTATACCCTGCTGGACTCAGATGAGAGAGCCGAATCAGTTCAAACCACCTGATTTCTGCCTAGTAACAAATACATTTTGTTTCCAGTGGAACATAGGACTTCAAGCTGGTGGCTTGAAGTTTCCGTAGCAGTCGTGTTTATTTTTACGGGAGGTGATTGCTTGCCTCATGCTCAACCTTCCCTCTTAACCAGTCTTACTACTGGCTTAGCCAGGTAAAAGAGTGCGTCGGCCGGAGATTAAACCCCGGACCACCAGCGTGGTTGGTGAACATTCTACCGATGTGCCACCGACGCACACATTTTGTATATACATATAAAAAAGCCTTACTTGTATTGTTCATCACTTGATTAGAATTTATTAAACATTCTTCATGATCATCATCACCATCTCCATCAGATAGATTATCCGCCTGTGTTTGTTGATTTCCTCCAACCACCACTGGTGTCCAACCCATTACACGGAACTGTCGACTAATTCGTCTAGCTTCCGCGGCTATTTGTGCATCAAAAATACTATGCTGCTGTTGACGACGGTATTGCTTTTGACCATACTGTTGTTGAATACATGAACTGGTTGTAATTGGGACTCGCGATGTTTCCCCGTTATAACCCTGTTTACTACTATTGATACGATTTTTGGAGAATAATTTATTATTTGTTGATAAATTTGTTGTTGTTGGCGACGATGATTGGGATACAACTCGTTTGTCAGTAGTGTTAGTAGTGGTTGTTGTTGTTGTCGGCATAGTAGGAACTACAGCATAATTCATTGCATAATCTACATCTTCAGACTCATGGAAATCATCAGTCTGAGAGCCCGATTTATCAACATTATCATATTCAGAACTACATGACAAAAACAGAAAGAAAACGGTAGAACATCATAAAACTTATCTCCCTTCATGTTTTTGGCATTATATATGTAAAAATAAACGATACAACGAACAGTTATTGGTGAATGTGTCACATTGTGTGTCATACCAAATAGCCTCCATAAACGATCTGATACGGTTGAAGGTGGACAGACTGCCGCCTTCTTCCCAAAATGCTTTCATATGACCACGCATTCATAGCCTCTGCTAGGTAGGTCCTAACCACTGCCTTCACGTGGCTGGGATGTTCCTCACAAAAGTGAGAGAGGAAATGAGAACGCATGGAGATTACAACCGGACTGCTGGACATTTTGGTCTACATAAGGGAGGTGGAAAGCCCTGGAACCAAAGGTAAGGAGTACAAGGACTCCAGAATCCGGTTGGATCGAATAGCGTATGAACCTGTTTTGGTGGTCGGAAACCATGGAAACGCAGCTCCATTGCTATGTGGATCAGACTTCAAGTCAAAAGTTCGGGGGTGGCCGCTTAAGATAATTACCTGCCTCAGTTTGAGCACCTGAGCAATATCCCAGCCCTCTCACAAGGTATGAGATTTTGTGTGATACATCTATGTGCTCATAATGTAGCAAGTTTGTGTTTCCATAAATAATAAATAAAATATTACATCAAATAAACTTATTATCTAATATGGAAGCATATTCCATCACAGTGGTCAAATTCTCATCTTATATTAGACTATAACAATAATATTACTAAATTCCTGAAAGATCATTTGTTTTAATAGGATTTTAAAATATCATCTATTAAGTTGAAATGGAAGACACTAGTTTGACCTTTTACAGCTGTATGCAGTATTCTTCCACTACAAAAACAGGTAGAAAAAATTTACTGGGATTTCAGGAGGCTTTTATAGAGACTCGCGGCATTCTACTCCGTAGTAGTGACGCTGTTGCTATATTATTTCGTGATCGACGCTGTCGAAGGCCTTCAAGGTGTCGGATTTTCAACTCCACCTCTTTTATGACAACCTCATCGTTACTGAAAGTTCGAAGTATAGTAAAACTGTAACAACAGAAGACAATGGCCAGGCAACAGATCATTTACTAAGGAAATCAACGTATATTTATATATTTCATGTACATTATTATAGATTATTTAAGCAAACAAACAGTCTTCTGACTGGTTGTTTTTCACTTAAAGTCAATCTTTCATCTCTGTGACTGTTTCACATCATCTATATGTTAACTGTATCCGCCTACGCAAAGTCTGCTGTGGTTGGTTTTGAATCAGTCTTTGTTCATCTTTTCTCACGACCAATCTTGAGAACGTAAACATTGACGTAAATTACTGTCTACCAATTTGGCTAGTAAACAGCTCTCACCACAAAACTAAGCTTATCACTGGGCTCGGGAAGACTCCTCAATTCGAAGACGGATAGCTCAGGTGGATGAAAGCCTTTTAGGAAGCCAATCAGCTGATATATCTCCCTTCCTCAATGAAAGCACAAGTAAACATATGCATATCAGCATAATGACATAACACACACAAATCGACTGATAAACAGAAGTGATATGGACGAGACAAAGGGATGCAGTGGAGGGTTTAAAAAAGATGCGGAATAGAACAGAAGAAACATTCAACTCATACAACTAACGACTAATACCATAATAATAATTATTATTATTACGCTTACCGTGCGCCACTAGTATGACTGTCAGCAATACTAACAGTACGATGTAATATTCGTGGTATACACTGTTGTTGTTGTCGCTGGTGTTGCCCATATTCTTGTTGACTAACAGTACAATTCACCACAGACTGATCATTTCTTCTATCTGATGATTGAATCGATGAGTTGACTTGTCTTCCACCATGCATCAATTCATTGATAAATGAATCATTATTATTACTATTATTAGTAGTTATAAAGCCACACTTGTTAGGAGAATGAGATTCATTCGAGATAATTGATGCTGGTTCACATTTATTGAGTAATCTTGAACAACTAGCACTGGTTGCATCATCACTACCATTTGTGTATCGATTAGACTGATTTATGACTGGAATATTTTGATATTTTGTAACTACGGGTAACTCATTATGACTTTCACCAAGTGTATAACAGCTGTTTTTATGTACGCCGTTCATATTTCCTTTTGTCTCACTTTTCTTATTTTTCTTATTACCGTTGTCAAAGTCAGCATTATTATTATCGTCGGTATCGTCGTCATCATCGCCTGTATCGTAGACCGACGAAGCGGAATCACCAATATACCTGTGAAAAACCACCCATTTAACCAAAGTCAAACTGCGAATTATGATTGTATAAACATATGAACTTAGCAACCAAAAAGTCTACAGTCCCGAAAAAATCAGTGCACCCATGATTGTGACTCACGGGAAATGTTAATAGTGAGATTGCATCAAAATGTCTGAGAAAAGCCTTCAAAAGAACTTTTAACACATCTAAGTTATGCTGTCTATTCACCAGCCAACCAATACTTAGTACATGAGATAAAGACAAACTACCTAGTTTCGCCGCCTTTTCTACGTGTATTTATCAACTACATTGGGCGTAAGATTAGGCAATTTCATCATCGAATTTCTGAACACCTATTACCTTGTTTAAGAGAAGGACTGAATACAATTATGTGCAACTTAATGCTAGCCCATCTCAATGATACTGGATAACATAGGTTGACACTAAAAAAGCTTTTAAGTTTATTTATCGTATTTCACCCAGCTTTTCGCATGCTCTACGAGTACAACTTTTACATACAGCAAAGACAATCTGAATTGTTCTAAACGGGTCAAATCTGCATGTTCTAAAGGAATTTGTGCAACCCCCCTCTACATACTATGTACACAGTTTTACAAATATCCTTGTAACTAACATCATACTCTGTCATTTTGTTAACGATCACTATTCTAGCTAATTCAAATCATTTGTATCTTGATATTTCTACGTAGTACAATTATCTATTCTCCTTAGTCATCATTATTTTGCAACATAAAAATTATGACCAGTTACATTCCGATTGATAGGATAACTTGCTGGCTTCTTAACTTAACCAGAAAATCTTTGTGCTTACTGAAGTGTGCTTGGGCACTTGTGAATTCCCGGATGCGGACAGCATGGAAGGTAATTTTTCTCCTGGGGTAATGGAAACAGAAGGTGCACTAATGTAGCGTGACCACAGGACCCAAGGGACAACTGCTTGGGGTCGGTTACATACTCATGGGCTTTTAGAGTTGCATCCGCCAGTTACCAACCAGCGCAAGACTAAGCCGGCATGTAAAACTTTTTGGATCAACCTTTTGCAACAACTCCAGAGTCGAAACGCAGCACAGGTGGTATCCTTATTCCTCATCAGTATGGCTTCACCCACAAATCCGCCCAAACATAGTGTGTAAGCTACTTACACTATGATGGTAACTGCTTTGAGTCTAACAGCTATCTAAATGACGTTTCTGGTAAGGAAATACCAGCAGAAACATTAGTTCCAGCCAACGTGGCTCGTTGGGACATTGCGATATGCACGCTCGACCACCACCACGTGAAGATAGCAGCTACCGGTCAGGAATTAATAACCATTTATCAGTAACACGTCTTCCGAAGTTGTGTGTGTGTTTATACACCGATATAATATAGCGACCACGTTTACCTTCTTTTCCAACCATCTTATCGTATTAACTTACTTCTAAAGTTATTCAATTACTGGAAAAACTTGAAATTTAAAACGTATTCAGTAAAAGTCAATCGGTTTAAGCAACAAGAGGGTAGTGGTAGTAGATAATGAAATAGGAGATTCAGAGAATTATTAACTAACCCACTCATCGCATCACTTTCTTCCCCATTCGAAAACAAATGCCAGTCGGTATGACGACGTTGCTGTTGAGCTTTAATCAATTTTCTAAAAGCTGGTCGACTTCCACCACCGTTCACAGAGCTGGCAGTAGAATCAACATTAGTTACAGCTATTGTTGACGATAATTTGTGACTATTGTTATTATTATTATCACTAACTCGATTGGAAGCCTGAAATTTTTGACCATATGCATATTTACCTGTTGTATGAAATGAATTCGGATATAGATTATCATAATCTGAGGCTAAATCAACTGTCTGCGGCATTAATCGTTGACAACCACTTGTAACTGGTGTAGACGATAATGCAGACGGCAAGTTAGGCGGATGAATCAATGGATTTGGTATAGATAAATTATGATTGTTATTACTATTATGTTTATTATCGTTGTTGTTGGTGTTATTGTCAGAGGATGAATACCAAGGCGCTGTGATAAGTGATGTTTGCGGATATGAGAAATTCGGTAGACTAACTGGTGCTATCTCTGGTAACGATGGTCGTATGTTAGTAGTAGTATGCTGTAATGAATGATTATCACGAAATTGTTTTTGTTGTTGTTGTAAAAGGCAAGAATCAATATTCTCATTATGTACTTCAGAAGGATGATGATGACCAGTTCTCTTCATCGCTACTTCAATTTGTTTTTGATTGATATTCATTTTAGATTCATGCGGAACAATATTTGACAGATAGGCTGGTTCAGTTTTATTTGACGGATTATGTATCATATAATCAAATCCAATATGTCCAAAATTTTTGTGATACATAAATAACTGAAATTTGGAGTATTTTTTTAACAAAATAAAACAAAAACAAAGGCAACATCAATGACATAACATTTAATATACCCATATATATATATATATATATGTCACGCGTCGGTGGTTCAGTGGTATGATACTCATTAACAACGCATATAGGTTTGAGGCTCGACTGTCGGCCGATGCAACCCTAAAACTTCACTTAGCCAGTAATAAAGAGGGAAAGTTGAGATAGATGAGTGTAGCAATCCCATCACGTACAAGACGACAACACCACTTCTGTTGGAAGTTTAAAGTTCAAGCCTAAAGTCCTACTTATGTTGTACTCGGAACTCACAGGCTAACGTAAGATTATACATATAAGCAGATGTCACGATCAGTAAGATTATGTTTGCCTTTGTGTTTATTGAAGCATGTGCCACATAATATTATACACTCTTGGAGAGAAGGAATTTTTAATCCAAGTTTGGGCACGGTAAGAACAATACCTGATGGTGTTCTTTTCGAGCACATATTTCTCGTCCAGTCGATCTTATGCCAACATATTCAGCTACATGAAGAAGAGGTAGGCGAAGTGTGCACGATAATAACTCCCGAATATGATGCACAGCTCTAAAGGCTATGTTGGCATCAATGACAAATGTGTTGGGCTGAATGCAATTACAAAATATTATGAAATGTGAGACGATGATGGTGATCAGTTTCATAATAGATTCATACAACATCGGTTCGTCTGTGGACTGGAGAATATTTACCAGATTGGTTCAGAAGGAGGGAAGGGAAGTCAAAGTGCAATTCTACATAAAAAAACTATCTGCCACATAACTGGCTATTATTATTGTAAAGTTAAGATATATTCTATTTTATCACGAAAAGAACCTGAAGCGAATTTATTCGAAAGAATATTCTTTATTTAGATTGACCTTCAAATCATCATATGGGAATACTTCACACTTTTATAAGGTATTCAACTAATCAAAAAGGCTGAATGAGCAACGTCACTTGAAAGTAGAGAATTTTCACTTAGACTTAACACAACAATTAAACTACCAGAGTCTAATGACAAAAGTTGATTTTAAACAAATTTACTAGAATTCAAATTTATTTAGCCATTTTACTTTTGGGAATGTGGTGATATTACCAGTTAGTGAGAAAATTTCACTGGTTGATTGCCTGATTGGGGTCTTCAGTAATGCTAAGATCCAATGGCATGAAATGGCTCAAAGTTGTTCTCAATGGTGCAAATGAACTCACTCTTTGCAGTCTCCGATATGCATTAAACCCTAGTGTTCTTCCGTATTATTATCCTTTATCTCTCACATTTCTGCTCATTATGACTATTTTGAATATCCCTACCTTTGTATTATACTCTATGGAGTTTGACAAATTGAACTGGTGGTGCACTTCTTTGCAAAGTTCTACACCTTGAAACTCAGTCGTCAGTCACAAGCTGTAATAAACAGATGAGAATGAAAATAATTTTTTTTTAAAGTGTTGTTTTACATCATACTTACCTCTTCATCATTGCCTAAATCATCTAAATCAATAGATGATGATGAAATATTGATTAATTGTGGGTTAATATTATTAGTATTAATGTTTTTATGATTAATATTATTTGAATCATTTTCATTTGAACTACTATCGATGATACCCAGTTGTGATAATGGTGTTGTAGATGTTGACAATAAAGCCGCTTCTAATAACATATGTGTATTATGCTGATGTAGTTTAATATTATCACTACTACTATTATCTTTGTTAGTAGTCATTATATTCAATTTTGAAGGAATATGATTTTGCCAAAAGTTATTATTATTATTACTGTTATTTGACTCAACTAGATAATTCATCATCATTTGATTTTGATTGACGTATGGCGTGCAATCATCATTAATAGTAGTAGTACGTTGACTATGATGATGATGTAACTGAGAATTTCTGGACGATTCTATGTATTCAGATGTATAGTCAAAATCTTCACCCAATTCTGAATCTCTCCCATCTAAATCTGGATTAGCTAACAGGCTATCAGTCATCATACCATGAATTATACCATTACTACTATTTCGACTATTATTATTATTATAGTAGTAGTATTATTATTTAATTCATTGATTGGCATATTGTGTAGTTTATTCGACAGATTTTGATGTTGTACTACAGCACTGTTACCATCCATCAGATCAACACATCCGTCATCACCATCATTATCATCGTCTTCTGTAATCTCATCACCATCACAGCTTGTTAAACCTTTTTATATGTAGAAAAATGGGAAAAGACAAAGGTGAAAAGATGAAAGCCGATAAAACATAATAAAAGAATACTCAGTATCATTATAAAATTTTTAAATCAGATGAACAACATCCCCTTATCAGTTTTTTAAGTTTTATTTAGTACTTTGTGGCAGAATACTCACAAACCAAGAAGATGGTTCTGGGTTCGATCTCGGGTCGATGAACACTTGAACCTCACTTAGCCAGTAGTAAGCCCCGTAAAGAGAGAAAAGTTGGGTATAAGGTTACCAAACACGCACTCGGTGAAAAAATATAAACGCCACTGATACTGAAACTTCGGAGCTCGAGTTTGAAGCTCGGTGTCCCACTCAGAACGCAAAAAGAGAACGAAAATAAGAATTAAAAAAAATCCCCACTGATTGATCAAGCTGATGAAGAGTCCCAAACTAGAATGAAACAGCTGTCCAGTACTCTCTGTTGCTTTTCAATGGTATTCTAACTGTTATCAATCCGTGATCAACCTGTAACCAATCAAATCCCAACGAATAAAATCGTAAATAGCATTGTTCACCAGTTGTCTCTTGGGGTGTGTGTGTGGGTGTATGTATGCATGTAGGTGTATTTGTATGTTGTGATAATTCTTCACTAAATGTACCGACAATGTGTCTGTCAAAAATATAAAACCCACTGGATCAGTTGATTAGATAAAATGGTTGGGCAATATGCGTGTTATTTCAATCAATGAAAGAAAGGAGAAAGTATGTACGTGTGCTGAACAAAGATAGAACCTAAAAGAAAGAAGGACTTTAATAAATTAATTGAAAAGACAAAACAAGCAATGTTCGGTGAAGAGGGTCTTTTCGGCGGATTCATTTTCTTCAATAGCCATACAATCTTATTTACATACAATTTTTTCCATAAAAGAGGACAGTAACAAAGGTGATGAGTTATCATAATTATAGTTGTTATTATTAGTCAATGCATAAGAGGAGTTGGAATTACGCAATAATCTGCTATTACCCTGAAGGGCAGCAGTTGCCGTATACGTAGTGGGATAATTGAACACCTTGTTAACGTTGGTCATTCGTTCACAACAAAAAACGCTTTCAAAGTAATATACAAAGTGAAGAACAACCTGCCTTTGCACTGGTGTGTGTAACTTTAGTCATTCAGATGGAGAAAACAGAGCTATGCATGCAAAAGAAAATTATGCAATCATTTCTGCTATCATTGGTAACAAGCTTGTTGGTTTCTATTAACTTGTTTTTTGGTTTTTGTGTTGTTTTCTTTTGTAACCCTTTATAGCATGCTTGTGTATTTCTTTCGAACTCTTACACATAGTTTCACACTTTCCTTCGTTTCTATGTGCATCCTGGTTACAAATCACTCACGCAACTAAAATACACTTATTCAACTTGTGCTATGTATTGACTAATATTAACAACTATGTTTGTAACAAATCATCATTTTTGTTACTATGCTCTACTGTGAGGAAAAAAAATTGCATGTAAAAGCGATTGATTGTACTGCTAAAGAAAATAAATTTTCTGCGAAAAAACCTCTTCCTGAACAATACTTGTTTGGTTTTGCTTTTCATTATATCTAAATGAGGATTATTCTTGATCTATACGCAATGAAGACAAGTCAAACCAAGTGGAATGAAATCAATTCGACATCCGGTATAAAATATCAGTCATCATAGTTATCATTTACATGAAACTTTATTTCAGTTAATTGCTTACCATCTTCTGTCATTGAAGTTAATACAGCCATACTCAATGGTCCAAGTGATGCTGTACCCATATATTCAGCATCTGAACCTTCTGGTTCTCTTGTTGACGAATTCAACTTAGAGTGTTCATGCGGTATATATGGAATATCATATCGTTGTTCATTTGGCTATCAATAAACAAATATACACATATACAACTTTAAAGGAAACCATAGAGTAATTACCTAACCAGAGTTAAAGAAACAGGATTTTACAAACAAAAGCAAAAATGTTAAACAAAAATATCAGAATTTTGGTTAAATATAATTTTCAACTGTTAGATTTCATCACAGACGATGACTCCAGTAGACAGATATTCAACCCGGGACCTTCAGGTTACGAGAGCAAGCTAGTTGACCGTTCAGCCACATGGACTGGAATTCAATGAAACATGAATGCTAACTAGTGTGATATAGGACTACTTTCAACCAATGCCTTAGATTAGTATCCACTTTACCTTGACATTAAAGAATCCACTGGTCACGATTTCTCAGTATAGCTTCAGGAATCCATTCAATAGCCATAATTGAGGTGGAGATCGATACTTATATATATATATATAATAAAACGCAGAAATATACAAACTCACCACAAATCATCTCACAAGAAAAATAAGTTATATTCATATCTAAATTATTTTCTTTCATCACTTTCGTTCAAAACGGGACACAGATTTTCAAGTTTTCAAGTTTCTAAAATAGCGGTGTTGCTTTTAAGAAATGGGATGGCTGTTCTCACGTCCATCATTCCCTTCTTGAACTATTGCTAATTAAAGAATGCGTCGGTAGCGGAAAATCAAACCCGGACTACGGGAGTGGTTGATGAGCCCCAAAATCAATCTTTGGCATTTTTTATTCCTTTACGTTCCCAGTGGAACATAGGACTTCAGGCTGGAGCTTTGAATTTTCCGTAGCAGTGGTATTTATTTTTTAAGAGATGGAGTTGCTAGCCTCATGCTCAACCTTACCTCTTTACCAGCCTTTTTACTGGCTTAGCGAGGTGAAAGAGTGCGTCGGTCGTGGATCGAGCCCAGAATCACTTGCGTGGTTGGAGAGCATTCTACGGCTGTACCACCGACGCAATCTTTGGCATTAATTTGTGGAAAATGCATGGAAGCTTTCAAGTTTTCAACGAAGTTGCCTCTTTGAGATTCGAAATTAATATCAATCGATGAGATTGCGAAGCTGCATCGATTGAAATGGCTAGGGCACGTGTTGCACAATCCAGCCATCGCTCTCCTCGACGGGCAATGTTAACTGACAAGGGATTATGTTGGAAAAGATCTATGGATGGTCAAACCAAAACGTGTCATCATTCCATGAAGTCTTTGACAGTTGGCTTGAACCAGCCGCGTAGGGTGGTGTAGACTGCCACGTTGATTCGAGTCCTCAGAATGCTAAGAACCAATGGCTGGAGAGTTTCGGTTATGTGGTTCAAAATTTGTGTCAGTGGTGCAGATGTATTCACTCTCTGCAATCTCCCATATTCATTAAACACTTATGTTTATCCATGTTACTATTCTTTATTTCCCTTTACATTTATGTTCACTATATTCCTGCTGATTTATGTTTTCTTCTTTTTTGACTGCCTTTGCGTGATAAATGGAGTGTGGCGATTTGAACTTCTGCGGTACTGTGTAAAATTCTCTGTTGAAACTCAGTCGGTCAAATTTAATAAAAGCAAGGGATACAAAAACAGAATAAAAACCAAATCGAGAGAGTAAGAGAAAAACAAACAAACCTCATTCATGATGAAATGGTTTTTTGCAATTTGTTGTACTTTGCCAGATTGACAAACATTTCGAATAATTATATGATCTGTACATTGTAGTGATTGCATTACTACAGAAGAACGATTCACCTCTAATGGAAGACAGAGGGAATTCGATCCTGAAGAGTGTGTTGATCTTTCACTGAAAGTCGTTACGGTAGCCATTGTTGTCGCCGCTGCTGTCGTCACCATCATTTCATGAAATGCGCGATGATGATGATGATCATTTCTGCCGCCGGTTGATGAAGATGCAGAAGTAGGTGGAGTTTTCACTGAATTGATCTGCTGTTGTTTTACAACGTGATCCGATTTTGTATATGATAATGATAGATCTTTACTAGTCTGATGAGGAGTATTCATCTTTTCGTGCAGATATCCTCCACCACCTGGACTTGATGGACGTTGATAATCCGGAAAATCAAATGTATTGCTAGTAGGAATTATGACAATAGGGAAAGTGTTCAAGTAGAATAATAAAAAAGCCTGACTTTAAGATAATATATAACACACAGACACATAACATCACTGCCGATAGCCAAATTATGTAAAAAATATTGCTTGAATCGAAACGGTTGTGCCGATAACACAATTCGCTATATATCAAGGAAACTGTTATCCATAACTTACAACCACGCATGAATCATATGCGACAAGGTGTACATCTTCGGGTGTTAGTTGTAGGGGCTTGATTGATTTCAACTTTAACCACGAATAGATATTATTCAGAGAAACATTGGAAACCAGAAACGAGTAGTGGACAGTCATTTCGCCTTAGTTTGGGACTCTTCATCAGTGCGCACTGATGACCCCACTGCGGGGGATCAAACCCACAACTCTGAAGATACAAGGTGAGTTCTTTGATTATTCAGTCACTGGGTGGGAGTCCAATGACCAGCCCATCAGTTCTAACATCTGTCAATTAGTGATATTTAGTGCCTCCGCCAGCCAATGTCATAATCGAGTATTTGCGCCTCCATCCAATTGTACAAAAAGACAACTCCAGAATATGGAAAAAGAAAATATCATATGCTCACCTTTGAATAGGTTGACTAGCATTCTTAAAATGCACATTACTATTTATAGACTGATCAGTATTCACTATGAACTCATGATGAACCATACCATTCGTCGACACTCCTGTTGTTGTTGCTATTGTTATTGGATTATTTGACGACGAATAAGATCCATTTGCCTTATTATTACTATCTTGTACCAGGAAATGAATATCATCCTGGTGTGAACTTTTTATTTTCTCGGGTGTAATTATTGACGATGATGATGACTGACATACAAACCTATCCCGAGGATCTATTTGTGATAGTGTAGCGAATAATATGGGACGAGAATTTCTGTGATGTTTATCACTTTTGATAGATTTATTATTATCAGAGAGTGAAGGTGAATGATCGACAGTGTCTAAAAGATTACCTTGACTTTCCGCCATTGATTCATATCTGACGAGAATGGAGAAGTAAGGTGTTTTGTAGAAACAAATAGAGATATAAGAAAATAGTAAATGAAGGTTATTTTGCAAAACAGATTAAACCAAACTCAATGCATGCATTATTTAGTGTAAAATAATATCAGTGACAAAACAGTAAGCAGTTATGTAGTGTAGTGCAATCTGGAGAATTAGGATACACTATTGAGTGTTATGATTTGGTAAATACGTATATCGAAAAATAGAATATATTGATGTTGGATGATTGGAGACAAACCTGAGTGACTTAGGTTTCGTCCTTGTTGACAATCATCAGCAAAGAAGGCGTATCTGCATTCTTGAAGGAACTTATATCCCCTCTGAGATTCCAGACTGTACCACTCAGTGCTGCAGTCACAGACATTACCACTGAGCTATTCGGCCCCTCGACTGATAACTCCCGTAGGATTGTAGTGTATACATCGACTGGTCACTATGCAGTAACCAATGTCATGTGTTTAGTCTTTGGCGTTGGTGCAGACTGAATTCTATCAACCAAGTTATGATATTGCCACTATTTCTGAATGTCTAGAAAATGTGTAAAAACCAGGATGACCAAGTAGGCTGATAGAAATGAAGTTATTTAGACTGACTGAATCTATTCAGGTACACTGCTGATGAGCTAACTAGGTTTTCGATGCTTATATGCTATGTCAAGCAAAATATCAACGGCTCGTGTTTGGTATAAATGATTAGCAGCTACCCGTATCACTTAGAAGTATATATTGAATTAAAAACCCAGTGTAGAGGACTTAACATTACAAACTTCTTCAACCTTAAATAACCTTTGAAACATCGTGATTATGACTTTTGTAAGCATTGTTAGTGCACTCCTGAAGAGCACAGCTCTACTCTCGTAGTTATCCAACTAGAATTCATCCAACCGGAAATAATTTTCAACAAACCGGGATATGACCCAACCAAAGTGATTGTGTAAAGGCTAATGATACTACCCAGTCAGAGCCACCATGGAGGGTGTAGGTGGAACAGGATTCGAACCCGAGACCAGGTAGTTGACAGTCTAATTCTACAACCAATGAGCCATGTCTCCACAAACAAATAATAAACTGAATGCTGAAATTTGCGTTTAGAAACGTTTTATCCAACCTGTTTTACTACTACTATGGCCTTAGTGTCAATCTGATTATCTTTGTTTATTGCACAACAAAATCCTTTGTAAATTGTTTTTCCTGTGACCTGCTTCCAATTATTTGCGCTCTTGTTTTTTATTAACTATCTACAAATAACTACTCATTACTTAATCAGTTGTCAACTTTCTCGATTACTTAAGATTATTCATCATATTTCATAGACTACTACATCTCATACACTTTGATATCTATTTTTTTGTTACTAACTGGTCCTTCTTGGCAATTAACGTAGCACATGTAACCATTTAAATAAATAAATAAAGTCTTCATGAGAAGTTTTGAAAACAAAAGATTCCTTTGCTAAAGTTATGTGTTCTTATTTATTATGATTATTAACGTATAAATACAACTTAAAAAGTAAATAAGACTACAAATTTCATTCAAGTCCTTATATATTTATCGGTTACAGCTTGATTCCATACCGTATTTTCGGTACAGGTATGGAATTCTCAGCATACGATTTCGGTAGCCCAAATTTTGCAGGCCGACCATAGATATCAGGTGTGCGTCGGCAGGGAATCGAACCCCGGACCAAGCGCATGGTCGGCGAGAGTCCTAACCACTGTGCCACCGGCGAATACATTTTTACATGGAAGGGAAACTATGACAAGTCACTTCATGGTTGCAAAAGGCGTTCAGGTGAGTGGCTAGCACGAAATAGTATGCATTAAAGAGGAGATAGTAAGACTGTAGTGAATAGTTCATTATAAAATAATCAATATGTGGACTGAAACAGGTTGAGGCATATACTGAGAAAACAGATAATATGAATAATAATTAATGAAATTCGTATAAACATAAAATTCAATAGTATTGAAAGAATGTTAGAATGGAGAGTATGAATCACAGAAAACTGTGACTACTAAAACGAAGAGAAAACGAAACAAATCTAAAAGGCGATACGACGAAAAGGCACTTTTTGGGGATGGGATGGGATAAGGGATTTGAATTCTAGTTCGGTCACGGACAGGAATAACTTCTGAACGTGTTCTTTTTGAATACAAAATTCTAGTTCAGTCGATTTTATTGCACCATTTTCAGTTATAACGAAGGAGACGTAGATGAACTATGCGTGATAATGACTACAGAATGTAATAGTAAATAACTCTAAAGGCTATATTAGCATCAACTGAGATGTCCTGTATCGAATAAATGTGATAGAATTGAACAATTTGTGTATTTGATTTCACGGTTTCCGAATCAAGCTGGTAAATCTTCTCCAATCTGTAGAAGAACCTACATTGCATGAATCCATCATAACTGACTAATCACCACCACCGTCTTGCATTTCACAGTATTTTGTAATTGTATGCGTCCCAGAGCGTTTGTGACACACATCTTATTTATTTTGTAGAAAATGAAGCAATTAGAATTCTTGAGGAAATTTAAACAAAGGTGTGAATACATAAAATAAAAACAGTAGTGTGAAATGCAATTAAAATCTTTGTGCTTATAATCACAATTGAATATCAGATGTCAAAAAAATAATGTCATGTATAAGATAGTTTACAGGAGGTATAAATATTGGAAGGGGTGTAAAATTAGATTAATTACTTTCAGGTGTTAGCTTGCAGGGATTTGACTGGTTTCAGGATTTCATCATTAGCTGACATCGGTTAGAGGACCATTGGATCGGGTCCCAGTGGCTTAGTGGTCTACGAGCTCGCTCGCCTTGTAACCAGAAGGTCCTGGGTTCGAACCCTCCCGGCGGGTGCGTACTCCTTAAGAGTCCCAAACTAGGAAGAAACAGATGTTCAGTACCCCCAGATTTTCCAATGTTCCTCCAACCGATGTCAGTTCATGATGAGATCCTGAAATTAATTATTTATTTTGGTCACTCTATAGCTACTAATCAGTTATTCTACGTAAAAATGTATCCACCGCATAACTGGCTGTTATATTAATTATATTTTACAATTGTAAAAACCTGAAGTGGAGAATTTATTGAAAGGAATACTCTTAGTTCAGACCTATTAGTAATTCATGATATTGAAGAACATTTGACACTTTTTAATGTTATATTTTATATACTCCAAAACGAAGAAACGAAAAAGTAGCCGGAGATAATTGGGAAAATACTGTTTAGTGGAGGAACTTACTCATTATCAGTATACAAAGGATTATGATGACTAGTACCATCCCCGTTTATTACATCATCATCATCATCTTCATCTTCCACTTCGTCTTTAACAAAGAAATCACTAAGATTATTATTATTATTATTATTAATATTTTGATTAGATGAGAGTTGATTAATTGCATTTTTAACGTGATCCCAATCATGAATAATGGACTGACTATTATTATTCTTATCAGTAGTAGTAGTAGTAGCAGTAGTAGTAGTTTTGTTGGTTTTCATTGCCATTGTATCACTTTTAGTTGGAATACTCATCACCTTATCTTCATGAATATTTTTCTCGTCAATATCACCAGATGCATAAGCAGCACATGCACGTTCAGCAATTAAAAATGAGTCAATTGATGAAAGTGATGTCGGTCGAGGACAATTATTCGTATTAATAGATGTTGATGACAACTGTTCAGTTGTATTGCCAAAAATATTTAACACCATTCCATCGTATCGTTTAACTATACCAGCAGAGATAGGTCTATTCAATTTCTGAAAAAAAAGTGTATATAACACGTGAAGATTTATCAAAGGAAAGATAGATCAATGTAGGAGTCGCTCTGTCTCTCTCTCTCAAAAAAGTAGATCACTCTCATCGAACACTATGCAGTATAACTGATGTCATGCTTCCAATCCTTGGTGTTGGTGCAGAATGAATTCTACCAATCAAGTAGATAATCGCCAATTAATTAGTAAATTTGAATAAAGCAAGAACGACAAATGTACCAGTATAATCTGAGCTCACGTTTTTGTTTTCATTATTTCCTGGTTTCTTCTCAACTGGTTACAACGTGAACAATACCAAAATTATAAATTAAATTAAAACCATGAGCTCAGATAATCCTGGTACATTTGTCGTCCTGTGCACAAATTTCACTACATCATCTTCTGTCCTGTTTAGAAAACTTGAATTTTTCGTCTAAATATGACTCATCCTGCCCGCATTTTTTCTGTATTTTATAAAAACGTGTTCTTCTGCAGTTACGTAATCTATTACTTTTTATACTCTTTCTAGTTAGACTTTATTTCTACCCACAAAACATCTGTTGTTTCCAAGCTTAATAATGTAATTCTTCTACAAATAGTCAATCCTTAGTTCCGACCGGTTACTCTTTATCATTGCAAAAAGGAAGTATATTCAGATCCTTCATTTAATTTATAATTTTGATATTGTTCAGGTTGTAACCAGTTGAGGAGAATCCACGAAATAATAAAAATAGTAAAATGAGCTCAGATTATCCTTGTACATTCATCAATCTTGCTTTATTTAAATTTATTAATGGGAAGAATTGTATGAAATTACTTCATACTTTACAATGGTAGAGATTATTCTAAAATTAAACAAACTAATAACCGATGGTGCTACCTCGACTGAAAGATGAAGTATCTAGACTAGCCACTCCAAATTACATCTATCAATTCAACTGCGCTTGTGCAGCGAGTTATGTTGGCCGTTGCTCTAGGAACTTAATTTTTCGTGCTCAAGAACATATCCCACTATGGCTAAGTAAAGGTGTAGTTAAAACTATTAACAGCTCGATATTAGACTATCTGGTCACAAAGCCAGCATAGAAGAATCATTCTCCATAATATACTGGGTGCCTAACAAACTACCAAAATCGTCGAAGCACCGCATGCTCCAAACAGCAGAGGCTATTGCAATTCGCCTCAAACAACCAGTGCTCTGTGTTCAAAAGAAACAAGTCCAGCCCCTACCACTGCCCTGGCCCTCAGTAGAAACTATAAACTCATGAATTTGTACCATTACCTTTCCTAATTCTTCTGACATTCAGCTTATTTTATGTTGATGCTGTTCAGCTGTAATCTATCAATATTATTGATTTGACGTTATTTAAACATTAATGTCTTTTATAAGACTAATTCATTCATTCATTATAATGTATATATAATTGTAGAACCTGATGATGAATTTATCGAAGAGTACTCTTTGTTCCGTGTCCATTCTTTTGAAAACTAATAACCTATTGGCTGAAGGATGATCAACAGACTCACCTCATTTCCTAGAAGTCTTAGGTTTAGCCCCAAATGGGATCATGGGCGAAGAGGACGAAACAGCTATCCAGTAAGTACTCTCTTATTTTCAATATTTATCTAACTCATGATCAAAATCTGAGTCAATCAAATTGACAATGAGCAAAACTCGAAAATGAGAGAGAGACACTATGTTATTAAAACTATATTGATAAAACAAGTTTGGCTTATATGCTTCAATTCCTTGAGGCCTTAGCCGTGAAAAGACTGAACCTGTTTTACGCCTTCAAAAGTTATTTATTACTACTCTGATCCTGCCTAGGTTTATTTGAACCGTTTTTTCTTACTTTTTATCTGTGATCTTGAACCCTAAGTATTTTGGCCTATATTGATTCAATTTGAACCTTTTATATTCTGTTAACTTTTATAAAAATACGTATGACAATTGTGTGCTTGTGTGATCAGAGTGTCTGAAATGGTTGCATGAATACGTTACGCATGTTTTAGATAAATTACGTCTTCGTACCGTTCCACTGAGAATTTATAAATGGAATTAATTGCTTCAAATAAATTCCTATCAGACAAGAGTTCAATGTGATATTATCAAATATGTGCACAACACTTACCTCTTTACGAGAATCATTATCATGATTAGTTTGTAATTTATCGACTGATATCTCATCTGGAACTGGCCAATAACTGTTAGGTCTGACAGGTGGCTTAAAGCCTTGATTAGCATTTCGTGAATTTATTTTATCTGAGACAGAATGTACATGCTGTGGTGCTGGTGAAGTTTGATAAGATGTCGGAATTTGACAATTTTCTTGAATAAAAAAAGGAAGAGAAAATGAACGATAAGTAAATAAAATTAATCCACACAAAAGTAATCCATTGACTGGGTAATTATCCATTGGTTTACAGCAGAAAACAACACACTCGTCCGGGCCTCTTGCGAGATCAGAATGGCATGCAGTATCATCCTGTGGTGCAACCGTTCGACAGCGCTCCCCCCTGGTGGACGAAATCGCCTAGTGGATAATGATTTGGCGTTTGAAATGATGTATGCTCGACTTGCGTCTCAGTGGTGACAATGTCACCAGACACAGTCAGATGACGAGTGGCCCCAAATAGGACGAAATGTACATCCTACATTCCACTGCTAGTCACCCACCGTCTACCAAATAACAGCGAAGAGGCTCTTTACGGCGAAATAAAATTGACGATGACATGCAAGAATGAAAGTGTGGATTCCTTCAAAATCAATGGAATTGGTTGAAGGAAGCATTTTATCGCAAATTCATAGATGCTGGAATTCACTGACTATAAGATTCCCACCTAGTCGTTGAATAGTCAGCAGGCTGATTCTGTAATCTGTAGGTCCTCAGTTCCCGACCGAAAGCTGCTACCTTGACGTGGTGGTCGGGCTTGAACACTGCAATGACCCAACAAGCTATACTGGCTGGAACTTATGTTCCTGCAGGTCCTACCATGCCAGAAAGGTTGTTTGGATAGCAGTTAGACTAAAAGCAGTTACCCAATCCTATCCTATGATTTCAAATAAATCACAAAATATCATGCCGGATCGGTCGGGGCCCGGATTAACAACGACCGCGCTTTCTGCTGCCGTGTCACAGGGCAGAAGTGATAAATACGCTACTGAGACACACCAAATAAAAAAGAACAAACAAAAACAGGCCGTGTGTGACCGGCCTCAAGCAGTTGTCCCCTGGGCTCTGCGGTCACGCAACCAACTTCCACGGTGTGGGCAGCCGGGAAGTAACAATCGCCCTCACAATCCGAAGTGCACGCGAAACCCCTCTAATCCTCGCTCATCTTTGTCTTCATCTTCATCTCTATTATCTTGCCTTCCTTCTACCAATGCAACTCCTCTACTTGTTGGCTCTTCACTTCCTCTTCACTCTGTGTGCACTGATAACGATGGAAGCCAAAAAGCCACCACCGATGGCCTCCTAAAACCACGCCACCAATTTTATATAGGAGCATTTAATGTTAGGACACTTTGCCAAATAGGACAACAAGCATCACTAGCCAAGACTCTGGCATCCCGAGCCATTGATGTATGTTGTGTTTCAGAAACACGCATACAAGACCCAAGTGTGGTTATTCACCTAACCCCACCTGGCCAACAGGATGAATCTGCAAAATTCACCTTGAGGGTGTCAGGAGATGAGACGGCTAGTTCACGAGGATTAGCTGGTGTTGGGATAGCTTTAAGTACTAGAGCAGAAAAGACACTACTTGACTGGATCCCGGTAGATAGCCGAATGTGTGCTGTCCGCCTGAACGGATCAGTGAAAAGGAGAAAGGACTGCACTACCCGCCGATGCCTTTTCGTAATCTCCGCCTACGCCCCCACTGACTTCAGTTCGGATGAAACGAAGGATGAGTTCTACCAAAAGCTGTCTAGTTTGCTGCGAAAGGCTAAACGCTCAGATATAGTCGTTTTAGCTGGTGACTTTAATGCTCAAGTAGGGAAATTGTGTCAATCTGAGAAGAATGTCGGTGGCACATACGGAATTCCGTGCCAGCGAACCGACAACGGTGACCGTCTCCTACAGTTCTGTTCAGATAATCACTTGTTTCTTGTAAGCACTAACTTCAAACACAAGGAGAGACACTGTTTGACCTGGCGACCCCCATCATCAAATCAACGCTGGACACAAATAGACCACATAGCAATAAGCTATCGTTGGCGTGGGTCGGTAGGAGATTGTCGCTCCTTCTGGAACACGTGTGTAGATACCGTTCACGCACTGGTCCGCGCTCGTGTGTGCTTACGACTGAACGGACGTAGGAAACAGCTGGCGGTAAACCCATCACGTCCCCAGCTCGACCAGGGAACTAAGTCCCTATTTGAGGAAGAACTAGCTAAACACATATCTGAGTTCGACAGCTGCGCTAACCCTGAAGAAGCCTGGAAGAATATTCAGTCAGCCATAGATACAGCTGTAAAAGCTGTGAATAAGGTAAATCCAAAGGTGAGTAAAAACCATTGGATTTCGACTGCCTCATCCGAACTGATAGATGCTAGAAGACTTATTCCGGCGAGCTCCGAATTCAACGAGGAGCGAAAGCTGCACAAAAAGAAACTTACGAAAAGTCTCCGCAAGGACCGTGAACAGTGGTGGTTGACAAAGGCGAAAGAGATGGAAAAAGCATCGGCGATAGGCAACACCAGACAACTATTCAGGCTTATCAGGGAAACAGGTGGTAAAAGGCAAATGATAAGCGAAACAATCTTCGAGAAAAATGGCACCTTAATTAGCTCCCAGGATAGACGTCTGGAGCGCTGGAAAGAACACTATGAGGAGCAGTTTAATTGGCCCACAGCCACACTTAACCTACCGGACATCCAACACCTCCCTGAATGGGAGATAGACACAGGTCCTCCGTCCTTAACTGAGGTTACTAAAGCTGTCACCAATCTGAAGCTAGGCAAAGCAGCGGGACCTGATTTATTGACTCCAGAGGTATTTAAGTACGGAGGAGACAGTTTACTGTCTGCGTTAACGAAGGTCCTAGGCAGCGTCTGGGAATCAGAGGAAGTCCCATCGGGTTGGTGTAAGTCACTGATCATCCCGATATACAAGAAGGGAGACAAGTCTTCTTGTGATAATCACAGAGGGATTAGCTTGACTAATATAGTATCTAAAATCCTAGGCTCAATAATACTGCGTAGATTAAGTGGTGCTCGGGAGGCACAAACACGAGAAAACCAGGCAGGTTTTAGGCCAGGTAGAGGGTGTATTGATCACATCTTCACCCTTCGACAGATTCTAGAACATAGGCATTCCCACCGGCGTCCGACAATCATTATATTTCTTGACCTAAAGGCAGCATTCGATTCTGTCGACCGGGAGGTTCTCTGGCGATGCTTGGCTGTAAAGGGAGTGCCAAGAAAATACATTGCACTGATTAAGGCACTCTACTCGTACTCATGCAGCCAGGTGAGGGCTTATGGCGAGTTGTCATCTGAAGTGGTGACGACTAGTGGCGTCCGTCAAGGATGCCCATTATCCCCATTCCTATTCAATTTCATCATAGACGTACTAATGGACTTAACCCTATCACACTTCAGCGACTCAGGGATTGACTTGCTACCAGGGAATAATCTCGTTGACTTAGAATATGCGGACGATATAGTCCTTCTAGGCGAGGACTCTGACAAAATGCAGAGTCTACTGAACACCCTGAGCAACAATCTCCGTATGTTTGGCATGCAACTCGCCCCTGTTAAATGTAAAATGATGCTGCAGGATTGGACTTCATCGACCCCTAGATTAGAAATAGGAAGTGAAGTGGTAGAGCACGTTGACCGCTTCAATTACTTGGGAAGTACCATCAGCCCCAACGGGTTGATCTCAGACGAAATCTCAGCACGAATACAGAGGGCTAGTTTCGCATTCGCCAGTTTTCGCCGTCTCTGGCGTAGACGCGATATCCGACTATCGACCAAAGGGCGTGTGTACTGCTCAACAGTCCGCTCCGTCCTCCTTTATGGCTGTGAGACCTGGCCATTGAGAGCAGAAGACATGAGAAGATTAGCTGTCTTCGATCATAGGTGTCTGCGCTCTATCTCCCGCGTGAAGTGGTATAATAAGGTGAGCAATATTGAGGTTAGGCGTCGAGTGCTAGGTAAAGCGGGGAAATCAATCGATGAGACTGTGAAATTACATCGACTGAGATGGTTAGGACATGTGTTACGTATGCCTAGTCATCGCCTCCCTCGACGGGCAATGTTAGCTGACATAGGGCCAGGCTGGAAAAGAGCTAGCGGCGGTCAAACGAAAACATGGCACCAATCAATGAAATCCACAACAGTTAGTCTAAGTCACGTAGGGAGATGTAGACTTCCTGGTTGGGGTCCTCGGGATGGTAAAAACAAATGGTTGGAAACAATTGGTGACATGGCTCAAAATCGTTCTCAGTGGCGCAGATGCATCCACTCCTTGTGACTTATGATTTCCGATGAAACTGTTTTGTTCTTCGCTATTACTATACCTTTGTCTCACACCTGTGTTTACTGTCTATATTATGCATTTCTTCTGCTTCCTTCTCTTGCTTTGCGTGCTACATAGATTGTGGCGACTTGAACTGCCGCACATATGTGCAAAGTTCTATGTCGAAAACAGACAGACAGACAGATAGGTCCTCAGTTCTATATTCAGTGGGGACATGGAGTGAGAACTGCTGACGAGTCGACTGTCCTGCGCCGCCTCCTAGACAGTATTTTTGAAGATTCTTCACTAAACGAACCCAACAATTCAGTATAATCGATATCTGTACCACTCAAGTCGAATCCGAACGATCAAATGAAGCAAGCGTCAGTGGTGTCATTACGTAACAAAAACAGGTAAATGATAACCAACCGCATTATTCTTCTAAATAAACAACAACTTTAAAATAAAACCAAGAAAACAAATGCATGCATACCATGGCTTATTGATGTTGTAGTATGTAAGCTGTTGGCTGTAGACAATTTTTGAATAACACTGGGTGATGTGAATCCATGCTTCTGTTGAGAACCATTTAAAATATGCGATGAAACATTACATTTATCATTATTATTAGCGCTGGTACAATCAGTCACTGTTGACACAACAGTGTATGGAACAAGTATTGATCCTGATGGTACACAATAAACCTGAGCTTGAGAATGAATTGTAGAATCTATATGCATAGTATTGGAAGGATAAAATCGTTGATGAGGTGGAGGCGGTGGTGGTTGTGGTAGAGAAGCAGGCAAAGATTGGCCTTGGGGGTGAGGGAATTGAACAGTTGATGAATCCAATGTAATATTTGTAGCATTTAAAAATGGTTGACTTTTACGTTTTTGCTGTTGACAATGATGATGATTAGTAGACGACTGAAAAGCATCATCCACTAACTGTCGATCAGTTGTCGGTGATATTATCGCTTGATTAGGTGTGCAATGATTGATTGCATTGATCGTGGTTGACATTCTTTTGTCATTATTAGGAATATCAGTCACGACAATAGGTGGAGGAGATGAGTTGGTGTTGTTATTTAAAGGATGGTAATTGGTAACATTGAAATTATTTGAATCGAGCGGCTTTTCAACAAAAAGTAATTGAAACCAAGAAATGAAAATAAGGGGAGTGGAGAGAAACACTAACCAAAAAAATTGAAACGTATTTTGATTAAAAATTATTCTCATATGTTGGATGGTTCGAAAACATACACATATTAGGCTCTTAGAATCAAATGATACAAATCCCAGTCTGCAAGACAGAAAATCTGTAAACGTTTCGAGTATTTGATGTTTGTCGTCGACTGTATATATTTGGTAAAATCGTAATGTGGTCGACAAAACAGTCCAGCTGTAAAGTTAGTTGTCATTAGATAAGTTAGTCGATGAAACTAATGACTTTTAACTTTTGAAATGTCTAACCCATGTCTTTAATTTTTTTATCATGTATGTTTGTGTTACATTAATGGAAGTAGAATTATATTGGAGAAAGTTGGAATCTATCGGGAATATAACGTCATCTCAAATTATGAAAATATTAACTATTAGTCACCTAGTTGCACTTCATGCTACACCTGAAATCTATGGTTGAAGACAATTCTTTACCACTTAAAGTTATCTACAAAACGAAAAGAAATTTTCCAAAAATGACGATAAATCTTCGATAGCTATTTACAAAAATGGTTCAAGTTTGATCAGCAACTGACTTCAGCTGGAGAACCACTGAAAACCATCAGTGAGTAGTGGACAACTACTTCATCGTTGTTTGTGATTCTTCGGTAGTACTTGCGCATGACCCCACCAAGTTGGATGTAAGGACACATATACTCACCGATGACACTGATTTGTGGTTCGCGCTATAAAACGCGAGTAGGTAAAAGTTGGAATTCATGCGTCATTGGATCAGGTCTCAGTGGCTAAAGGGTCTACGTGCTCGCATCATAATGTGAAGGTCCTGGGTTTGAAGCCTCATGAATGTGTAATGCTGAATTCCACTCTTACATTATTATTATTATTATTATTAAATGTTGATTAAAAGCCTGGATAAATTTACCATTGCACTCACTACTCAACCAACACACTGTAAATACAAAATAATCGAGCAAAGAATATTCTTTGTGTTTTATAGATGTCTGAATGAATATTTTTGCAACACTGTAAATAAGTAGTAGAATATTACTGTGAAGATAAAAGCTTACGTGATTTTCCTTTTGACCATTACCAACTTGTTGTTGTATCGGTATTGGTATTCCATGAGCACTAGAAATGTTAGATACCAGTATAGGAGTTGACGAACAACAAGTATTGAGCATAGAAGAAACATGTTTATCTGATTTGGTATTGGCTAATTCTGACTGACAGACGTTAAAAACATTTCTGTTGCCATTATTAGTATTACTACTACTACTACTGTTATTACATGTAATGGTAGTAGTAGTAGTAGTAGTAGTGTTGCTGTTGTTGTTCGAACGAACAGTACAGAAATGAAGTAAACGATCAATAAAAGGTGGTCGTCCATCTCTTGTCTTCAAAAGTGACGATGATGGTGGACGTTGAAGTTGTACAGATGGTATAATTCTTCCAACAGTAGGATCTACAGTACACCATGTGAATAAATGTTGATTTAATAGATTAGTACTGACACCAGTTGAAGAGCAAGATGATGAGGGAGGCAAAGGCGCAGAAGTTGCACCAATTGAAGTAGAAGAATTCAAAAGATTCAATGGAAGTAAACTAATCAATTCATCTGTGGCTAGAATAAAATGCTGTGAGTTTAAATGAGTTAACTGGTGTTTAGATAACAGTTGACGACATATTTCTAATGGTTCTCCCCATAAAGTGAAAACGGGATGTTGACTGGATACAAAACCAAGTATACATGATCCAAAATGAAGAGCTGAAACGAAAATAAAAAATAAATATAATTTCAGTGAAAGAGGATAGGAAGCACAATAATATGAAATAATGTATACACACGAAACACATGTTCAAAGCTTCGTTCAGAAATCACTTCATTACAGTAACATGCATACAATTTTTTGCTCGTATTCTGATTATCTTTTGAGAAATTTTCTTCAACAACATTCTAAAATTCTAGAATCAGAAATGAAGATGAATTGGACACATGGTGAAAAGACTGTTGAGTGATACACCATACTCCAGGTCCCCGAATAGGAAGCGCCGGGTTAGGCGTCCAAGTAGGACATGGTGACGATCATGTAAAGAGGAAATGAAAACTTGTAAGTACATTGTCGAGCTGGCTGAAAATGACGTCACAGAACTGGGTGCAAAGAAGATGCGCTCCTGAAGCTCTATTTTCCACAAGTAATGCAGGGAATGAATAATATAATCACTTGATACAATCAAAAATACTAATGTAACGGTAGAAGACAAGAGACTTGGTAACCGAATGTTTATTTGGAATTTGATATTTATATATAGGGAAATTATATACGCCTTATCTCCAAACCACCATTTGCACAAATCTTCCGCGTTGTGCTACTTCTGCCCTATTTACTGTGTTTCTTTGTCTTCTTTTCGTGTTTCCTATGTCTTGCCACAAACCTGTTTCATTTGTTTTCTTTGAGATCAAATCTATCTATCCGCTATTTGATGTTTTTGTGCGGATGAACGCCTCTTTATAAACCACTAATAAATCTTGTCAGTAGCACACGCCACATTAGCGTCGACCACATGTTTTGGAAGATGAAATATGCATGTGTAAGATCAATGTCATATTGAGAATTTGAACGACAGTATATTATATAATGGTTTTATAACACTAGACGTATGTATTTATTTGCTGAAAGCAAAACTGAGATGGTCAAAATTTGTAAGTTTATCTCGGTCAGCATTAAAATTTGCCTCGTGACAGCATTGCTTAAGACTCAAAATTATCCAACTTTCAATATGATATATATATATATGGCTTTCACTGTCTTCAGGAGAACTTCGCACATCCCATTGACTGATCATATTGGACAACAATCCTCTCTCTCTGTTGACATCTCAGCTGCCAGTACGGATGCTTTAACGATGTCTAAAGACCACCATGAAATTATTTTTCGTCGGCGGTGACTAACATTGGAATCTCGGAAGCACATTTCATCCTATCTGTGAGTGGCCAGGTGACGCTAGTGACCTAGTGGATAATATGCCGGCATTTGAAACGATGACTGTTGGGTTCGAGTCTTAGTAGGAAAATCACTCACTAGAAATTCAGGTGCATTAAGATGATGATGAGTCCCAAAACAGGACGAAATACGCACCCTGGATCCTACTGCTGTTCACTACCAACTAAAAACAGCGCCTTTCATTGTATTTTTACATAACACTTTCAGTTTTCTAACTTCAATGTGAATTACTTCATGGGCCAATTCCATCCCACAAGCTCACCTCATAAACTGAAGGTCCTGGGTTCAACTCCCTTTGGAGTGGTGGGTGTGTACTCATGAAGAGTCCCAGACAAGGATGAAGCCGCTGTCAAGTACTCCCTGACGGTTTTCAACGGTTATCTCTAACTGACATCAATCCGCTATCAGACTTGAAACCAATGAAATATCTGCAAACTAACACTTGGAAATTTATAAAATATCACTTAAAGACAGTCAACTTTCAAACTGTTTGAACTTACCAGCTTGAACATAAATCTGACCATTTGATGATGAAGATGACGTTGAAGTGGACGACTGGCAATTCGATTTTTTATTCAACTGATCGCAAACAATAATCACTTGTTCAATAAATTTTATCAAGCATGTCCATTGCGTAGCTGCAGACTGAATGACTTGAGAATCCTAAGCATTTACATATCAAAACAGGAGAAATGAGTAGGCGAAAAAGGACTAGTTTAAAAACCCTTAACGAACACAAAGCAAAAAGGCAACGATAACAACAATAACTATCAAGTTCTGAAGCTTACCTTGACCTTAAATAAATCTGAAAAGTAAGGATAAATTTTCATAATTTTTAGTCAATAACAATCAGTTGACTGAAATCATGGAATACCACTGGTTTACTCTAGTTCCAAAAAGTTGTCGCCCTGCAGATTTATCGATTACCAGAAATACACAAACCAGAAGTTCCATTACGTTCAGTTGTGGGTTTTACTAATTCCCCGAACAACATGCCCGCTAAATACATTTATCGAACACTAAGCTAATATGAAATAAAAGTGGAACATGGAGTGAAGAATTCGTATGAATTTAAGAGAAAAATCAACTTGACTCATATTCAAGAAGATGAAGTAATGGCAAGTTTCGACGTCTATTCATTATTCACGAATGTTCCTGTTAATGATTCTTTAAGTGTTATTCATAATTTATTTTGTTCTGACGACGAACTCAGCGGTCGTTGTCCTTAAAATCCAGACGAAATTATGAAGGCATTGGAACTGTGTCTACATTCCACGTTATTTACATTTAGAGGGGTTCTTTACCGTCAGACAGAGGGCATTGCTATGGCATCACCAGTACCTCAACTAGTCGCCAATCTGTTTATGCACACATTAGAAACAAATGCAGTTATGAGATGCTCTGGTCATCCAAAAATGTGGTTAAGATGATACCTTCGTCATAATCAGACGTAGTTTGTTGAGTGAACTTTTTCACTTAATAAACAATGTCAGAAACCATCAAGCTTTCCAAAGAGTTTGAATCCGATGAGAATGAGTTGGCGTTCCTGGACTGTTCAGTAAAAAGAAAACCACATGGTAAATTTAAAATAAACATTTTCAGAAAGCCGACAAATTCGGATAGATACCTAGACTACTATTTAGCACACCCCTTTACCACCAAGGTAACTGTGGCCAAGAATCTGATTAGCAGAACCAAACGTCTAGTTACTGAGGAGGAAGAGATCAGCAGGGGACTAAAATTGGTTCAATCCACTCTTGAATCAAATAATTATCATAAACCCTTCATAAAAAGATATTTAAAATGTGGTGATAAAGATGGATCGAAACCTGTTGCTAAGAATTGGGTTAGTACAGCGGTGATTCCTTACCGCAAAGAAACATCCAGTGAGATAAAGCGAATCCTTAACAATCATGAAATAACAGTGTATTTCCGCACAACTAACACTTTACGCTCATCACTGGTGAAAGTTAAGGATTAAATAGAAGAAAAAACTAACAGAATTGTGTGTACCAGATCAATTGTGGGGACTGTGACGCCGTATATGCAGGAGAAACTTCCAGACAGGTAAATATAAGAGTAAAAGAGCATAAGAAATGTCTAAAGGTGGTTTCAAAGACCTCTGCAGACTTAAGGAAGCTAGAAAACAGATCGGCGATTGCACAGCACTGCATTTTATAGAAACGGGACACAAAATCGACTTTGATAGGAATGAGGTTCTAAAGAAAGGTTTTGGTTCGTATAGAGAAAGACTGACTGCGGAAGTCCTACACATGTGGGTGAATCCCAACAGTTTGAACAGACGTGAAGGCGTGATGTTAGTTGATGCATGGCAAATCCTGATTAATAAATAAAAAATGGATATGTATCACTAACTAATCATACTTGGTCTAAATTCCCGACTGTCCATATCTTCTAATGGAGAGGCTAACAAATGTTTTGCAGTTCAAGGTTATAAAAGGTGTCAGGAGTGGTATGTATTAAAGAGGAGATAGTAAGACTGAAATGAGAGGCTCATAATGAAATAACGAATGTGTGAAATGAAACAAATGTTTTACAACTGTTTACCCATACACACATTGTATACTGCAATACACATTTATTTTCATATTCAGTTCTCTACGATCATGAACTTTTAGTCGAACGTAATCTGATAAAAAGTACACTCTGCTTAACAAAAGTAGACTAATATATGAAATTTGAATAAGGCATTTAGAAGACAAATTTCGCTAGATGATATCATTTTGTAGTTTCTTTACAACTGCTTTACAACTAACATGGTTAACAATGATAAAATAAAATAAAGTTCATGACTCAGCTATATAAAAAACAAAAGTACATACTAATGACCAATCATATTTAAATAGGTCAAGTAGTTCATGGTAGGCGAAGGTTGAAGTCTATTATTTTTTCTACACACAGTTTAGTCTGTATGAGATTAATCCAAAGGGACTAATTGTTTGAATAGTATATGAAAGTCTGAGGTCAAATTTTGATCACAAATCATACAATTTTGTTTATTATACATGTTGATATCTGTTTCATGATTCATATGATTGGACAAAGTTTTTAAAAAACAAGAGATGCCCTTTTTATGTATAAACCTCTGTTATGTTAATTTCGATTAATTTCCCTGAAGAAGTCCAGACCAGTTTGCTGAACGAAACGTTGGAATTAATCATTTCAATTTCGCTGAGATTTTACAAATATAGTTTTTACAAGTGTTGGTTATTTTGCAGTTAATTGCTGGATGTTGACTAGTAGTGGAATCCAGGATGCGCATTTCGTCCTATTTGGGTTATTTTGTAGTATCACTTTCAGATTTGCTTCTATCTATTGTTGTAATACGATCATTACCAGTGTGAATATTGTATGTTAAAGAGATGAAAATTCATTCCATAACCTACCCAACCAACCCTAATTTACTTTCGAAAAGCATCAGTCTGATAATAATGATTAGAAAGAGGAGGAAGGATTATTGGAGAAATGCATGACGCAGTATAGAAATTACCGTTTATGTCACCCTAGAACAACTCAGTCTCACCGGTTAATCAACTTACGTAACATGCCCGCATGTCACGATACCATTCCTCTGCATCCCGAGTGGAAAATGTGGCTTCAGGATTGGGTTTTGAAGTTTCATTGGCGGTGGTGTGCTCTTTTATACAGAAGGCGCTACTAGCCTTACAACTAACCTTCCCACTATTCATGGAATACTATCGGGAATCAATCCCTGAATGCACGACTGACTAGCATTCTACCTTTAAACTGCCGGCGCACCCTCTCCATGTTTCCCTAACACACACATATTATTATTTTCTCATTCTCATGAAACGATACTTTGAAATGAAATAGACGAAAACAAACACTTGATTAAGTCATCTAAATTCATTTTAATTAGTTCGAAAATTTCCGACCTAAGTGATACTTTTGTTTTTGGAAATAGCATACTTACAGAATTCCCAAGTCCTCTGACACCAGCTGCATAACCAACCATAAATCCACCAGAATAAATTTTCAGTAAATTCAATTTAGATACGGATATTGACGATGATGTTGCTGATGATGACAAAGATGAAAATATCTTATTGTTACTGTTATCATTTTTCTCTAATGTATGATCTTTACAGGATTGTTCGTGAATATTATTAGAATTTTCTGAATTATCTGACACTGTTGACTGTTGACCAAGTGCAATTGAATCGACTAGATGTATAACATGATTTAACAGGCGTATACGATCAGCAATCTGTGTTGGTTCTTCATTCGCCGTTAACTTTGACTTCGATTTCTCATCATTTGGTTTATCCGCTGTTATTCCTGTGGTTGTATTGGCAGTGTTAGTAGCAACAGGAGCAGTATTTGTACAGTCAGCTGCTTGTTTCTGTTGCTGTTCCTTCTGCATCTGTATCAGTGAAGTCGGTGAAGATTGTGATGGTATGACAACAAATTGTATTAACACTATACCGATATTATGTTGTGGTTTACTATATACTTCCATTGTTCTCTCGGGATTCGACAGTCTAGCAATCACAAAACGTGGTACAATTGAAACTAGTAGACGCGCTAGAGCTACAGTTGTCAAGTTTAACTTCTCCACGGCTGATTGAGTCTTAACACGTTTTTCAAGGAAAAAACAACAACAGAGCATTAAGTTAATTAAGAAGAATCTTGTTTCACATACAGTATTTCTTTCCATACCAAGGATAAAACCATACAACGCTATTAGTTATAATCGAATTTTTCTACTAGTGCAAACAATCACTCAAACAACAGTCATTCTTTATCCCATCTATTGTACAGTAATAATCATAACCTGCCACAGCTAGAGCATTTTACCCAAATACACAATTGACTCCGATCAACAAAAGCAGACGTCCTCCATACACATGTAGTCCCCCCCTTACGAGGAGTAACAACAATTGGTAAACAAAATGACAGTTGCTAGACCTCAGCTACCCAGAACAGATTTTCCATACACAATGCTGTGACTTTCGCTTATTCTGTGAGCACGGGTGATACTACTGAATTTCTCAGGAAGGTTATAGTGGGTAAGGTGGGATCTAAACTCTGGACATATGGGTTAAAAGCTGAGTGCTTAAGCCAATAAACCATTGACTCATAACAGTGCTACTAAAGTTTTACTATTATTATTTAAACCACCATCAGCTGAAAACTTCAAGAATTGATATTTAGTTCACGAAAGATGGATCAGTAATCTAATGGATAATGGAGCTTCGAGGTTTAAGATGATGGGTTTAAGGTTTGAATCCCAATGGAAACACTATCATACTTGTTGCAGTGAAGGCCTTCATTCATGATCAAAGTTGAAATCAAACGAATCCTTGCAAATTGACATTTGAGAATTAATCTAGTTCTCACTAGTGACTGCTTACAGCATAAAGTCGCCTGAAGTCCTAATAAGAAGTCGTGACCACTAGGGTTCACCACGGTCGAGTGTGAGGACAAGCACACGTCATTGACACTGACTAGTGGTGACGCTAAGAATTCAGTGGTTCTCTAACTGATGTCAGCTCATGATGAAATCCTCCATGCAATTAAACAAAATCACTATCAAACCAATACTTGAAAATTCACGAATTGCCAGTAGTTGGGATTAGTAGGCCATTGGGGTGAGGTCCCAGTGGTTAAGTGGTTTGTGAGGATACCTTCAACCTAGAAGGTCCTGGGTCTCAATCCCGGTGGAGTGTACTACTGAAAAGTCCCAAACTAGGACAAAACGGCTATCCAGCACTCCCTCGTTTCCCAGTGGTACTCCAAATGTTAAGTCGTGATAAAACCTCCAAGCAATCAAATCCCTGGAAACCAACATTGGACAAAAAATAAAGTCGTAAAAAAATAATAACCTAAGCATTCTTCAGCTTGTGCCAAAGAAATGCTACCACCTTCAACAACTCTGACTCAGTGGCTACATGAATCAACTTCCAACCAATCAATGAATTACAGACTCATTCATATACATAAACTACAAAAGTGTAACTCATAGCCTAGTCATAAATATGTAAATACTTCTCAAAATGTTTTACCATGCTTGACCGTTTGTCTACAAAAAAACTTAACACTCACTTTCAATCTCCATTGTTTAATTAATCTGCACTGATATTCTAAACTTCGAGGCAATAAAACAGTAAGTAGGAGAAAAGCGAATTGAGCAAATAAGCATTGAACAAAATTTGGAATAAACAGACTTGGTTGAATTATTATCGATGGTGAAAAGAGTTTCGATGAAGTGATATTATCATACCTGTTCAAAAAAAGCGAAAGAAGATGAAAGTAAAAGATGATAAACAGTCGATCAAAAATAATATATGCCGGAGGATATTCACTGAATGAATTCTCCTTGCATATTGAGTGACCAGTATTGATTATATGTTCAATTATAGCACTCTTTAGTGATTAACTGTTACCTTTTCGTAGTCAAGCGGGATAATGTTCTTTGAGTCCTTTAGATAAAACATACATCGAACGACCTATATATCTCGCTCCACATGAGCAAGTAGATACACATGGAGGTGGTCAAATGCGATAGTTTATCTTTGGAGTTGTTGAAGAACAATGGGCGGCTTGAGAATACCAATTGTGACGTAGCAGCAGAGAATGTTCTTTTCAGCGCGTTATACATTCTTCTCTTTAGGATGTCAGCTAGAAGGTTACCTTTGAACGCCACATCCATGTATAACATCTTCTTCGGCACAGAGATGAGTTGTTCTTTGTTGATTTTCAGCTTTATATGTTTATCTATAAAGCGTGGTGGATAGCTATTCGCAAGTAGTGTCTTCCTCAAAAGAATGATCTACTCTTCTACGTTCAGAAATGAGAAGCAGAAACCACAGAGACAATCTAATTTCTGGTTGTCTGACTAACAAAGAAGACTGATGGGACACTAAAGAGATCAATACATCGAAAGTCAACGTGGAACGGCCGGCTGACCAACTTTTAGAGTTGGATATCCATCAATCGCAAGTGGAACCTGATAATATTTCTTGCGAATAAAATCTGTAGAATATGCAGCCCCAAATCAGTAGAAGAGATCACTCTTTTGAGGAAGACACTACTTGAGAATAGCTACCCACCACGCTTTAGAGATAAACACAAAGCTGAAAATCAATAAAAAACGGACGGGTAATTCCAGATTGATGAAATCTTCAAAAGTCAAAATTTTGAATGTAAAACAAGTGGTTGTTAGTGAATAACTTTTAGGATGATGTCGCAGAGTTCTAATATGAAGTTAGCATGCATGAAGCGAAACTATTCGAGTGAGAGAAGGATAAAGACAGCGCACTGATGACGTTATCAGATGACGATAGTGCTCACTAGTATTCCCTTCTCTTCTCAGTGGAACATACGGGTCCATTACACATTTCCATTTCTACCTGTTCTCTGCAATAATTTTTAGCCGGCTCCACAATCGTCCACAAGCCTTCATTTCCTCTACATAATACCTCCATGTCACCCTCGGACGCCCAACTCGCTGTTACCCATTCGGGCACCACCCGAAGGACTGTCTGGTGTATGATGTCACTCAGCGTGTGTGTAATCCATTTCCATCTCCTTCAAAATATCTGTTGGGGGACAGGTTGTAAGTTGGTTTGTTGTCTGCAAGAGTTACTTGTTGTTAATCCTTTCCGGTCGAACATCTGATCTCCAGAATGAAAGGGAAGGTAGTTGTTGACATAAGTCTGCCGTGTGACTGAAAGGTGATGTAAGCTAAAATATAAAAGATTATTTGACTTCAGAGCTGGATGTGTTAAGAAGAAACAATAGCAAACTCAATCACCACTGTTAATTAAACTCACCTTTTTTGATATTTACTTTGCAGTAATACACTAAAGAACCCATTGTAATGCGTAGTCCACAGAATGATAATAATATGCAGTAGAAATACTAACAAACCAATGAATACACGTGTCAACTGTGGTGTAACTATAAATTCTAGTATACCATCAATTATTTGTACAGATTGTTGTAGGATAGTTAGTTTGACATTGCGATTTGTTGCATATAAAGCAGCAGAAGAGAATATACCTGAGATAAGCATAGATATACTACCGATAATTATAAATTGATCATAGAAGAAACAATAATGCCCACTGTTGCTGTTGTTGACATTCCAACCAGAGGCTGAAGAAGTTAAAATGTAGCCCTCTTTAAACGTGTAATCTACTATTAATACAGTAGATGTGGTCAAATTTCTGTCTTGTCTGTACAACGCTATTTCAGATGGATGGTTTTGATGTGTATCGAGATTGTTGCTATTATTATTGATCAAATTCACTTCATCGATAGGACCACATAAGAACTGTTAGGAAATAAAAAAAGAAAACAAAAATAAAGTAAAATAATAATAGCTTTACTTTAAACAGTATATTTGCTACATTCACTTCACTTATTTGGGGATTTGCATCAGCCCCAATGCACTGACTAATTGCTGACGAAATCTCAGCACGGATACAAAAGGCTCGTGTGGCATTTCCCAACTTAAGTCATCTCTGATGTAGACGTGGTATCCAAACATCGATCAAAAGACGCGTGTACTGGCAGCAACTAATTTTGTCCTCCTATATGACTGTGAGATATGACAATTGAAAGTGGAAGGCTTGAAGAGGCTATCTATCTCTGAGTTCTGTCTCCCGTATTAGGGTAGACAATATGGTGAGTAGTAATGAGGTTAGGTATAGAATGTCAAGTAGGGAGGGTAAGTCAACTGATGAGGTTGTGAAGGTACATCGACTGAGATAACTAGAACACGCGTTGCGCACTCCGAGCCACTGTCTTTCTCGGCTATCAATGTTAGTTGGCATAAGATTAGATGGAAGAGAGTTATAGGTGGTCAAATGAAAAACTCTCATTAGTCTATGAAGTCTTTGACAGTTGGTTTGCGCTAGCCACGTTAAGAGGTCTAGACTGCCATGTTAGTTGTGGTCCTTGGGATGTTAAGAAATTGCTGGAAGCCGTAGGTGATGTGACTCAGAATCACTCTCAGTGGAACAGATGCATTAACTCTTTGTAATTTCCCATATCCACTAAACCATAAATCATATTTTTCCCACGTTACTGTTCTTTCTCCCTCATATTTTTGCTTATTAAAGTTCTTCTGAATCTTTTTATTCTCTCTTTTCTCTACCTTTGTGTGCTACATGGAATGTGGCAACTTCAACTGATGCACTTCTGTTCAGAGTTCTATGTTGGGACTCAGTCAGTCAGTCGGATTTGATACACTGTCAAATTCTCAGCATTTAGAGTACAGTATTGCATCTGATTTTCTCTTTACATTATGTAGTGAGGGTAATGATTAACAGGACATCTAATGTCAATAAAAATATAGGTATAAAACGAATTAAAATTTAACAGACACCGTGACAATAATATATTCATGAAAGAGAACTAAAAGGGCTGTTTACTTATTATTTCTCAGTAAGTTAGCACTTTCACAACTAACACATTTTTCTCAACACATAAAATGTGTGCCGAATAAGGTATCGAGCATTAAGCCTTTTATATTTACTTTCAGTCCTATCTTATGAGAAGCAAGGCGAGAATGGTGAATAAAGGGGATGCCCAGAGCTCGACAAGATGATATTCACCAATTTCTGTCTATAGGCAACAATATTAACAAGCTGGCTTAGAGTCATACACCATTTACTTTACCGACAGTTTTTAATGTTCCATGTAACACAAAACAGTCTGTCTCAAATAGCCCAGAAAAGATTACGCAGAGCAGTAAAGAAGAATAGGTAGAATACAAAAGTCAGCATACTGTAAAAGTTAAGACCAAGATATACCACATTGTCTTAACTTCCTTACGCAGAAGGTTGGAAGAAATATCTTCATAGAACGATCAGGAAAAATTAGAGAAAAGACGTTATCTAGGATATTTAATATTCAACTTAGTTTCAACTCCAGTACCCTATATGGTACAAGAATTGTGGAAGTGAACTAGTTTATATATGTAAATGTAAAATTTATGTAAACAAAATAATTCCACTTCGTTATGTCTTTTGCACACAGCAGTAACCCAAACAAATGAACTGATATTACCATATTTTTAGATGAACATTTATTTTGTTGTAACCAAACAGAACAAAATGGAGTTCAATAGTGAGTTTGAAAACGAACTTGCATACAAGGCATACGACATTTAGTGTACACCATGGAAACACGCATTCAGATAACATAACCACCGTATATCACGGCAGTATCAATTTCCATACATACTATAATGTTAAGCAGTTTATTTTTCCATTCCTTTGGATCCCGAGCACGCCGTAGGGCTTGAAGCTTTAGCTTTGATGTTTCAGTAGCAGTGTTGTCTTTTTGTGGAGTGAAGTTGCTAGTCTTACATCCAACCCTCCCTCTTTACCAAGCTTAATACCGGCTAAACGAGGTTAAGAAGTAAGTCGGCCGACGACTGAAACTCGGGTCATATGTGGCGTGGTTGGAGACTGAACCACTGGACCACCGACGCATTAAGCGGTGTCAGGAATGGGTTTTGAACATACGCTCACAGAGTGGACTCCGATCTGAACGCAACGTCCTGGAGAGCGTGGCCATCCTGTGAACAGCAAGCAGTTTATACTTTAAATTATATTTGTTAGGATCAAACACTATTTCATTAGGATAAAATAATGGCAGGAAATAAACATACTTGGGCAGTAGTAATGAGATCAATCAAAAATATGTGAAACACTTAGCTAGCTAGTGTTTACTTCGCTACAAATTTAAACATCAACTGCTGACTACGCTAATACAAGATTTTTACTCTGCGGTCATACCACACACAGAGAAATAAATAGGGCCAAGAAAACTGCAAACTTTCCACATTTCAAGACTTTAGTGGTAGGTGTTAACACTTGTAATAAAGCAGGGAAGAACAGACTACCATGCAGTAGATTCATTGTTTGATAATGTGAACTGGGTAACTTGTTGTAACAAAGTTGCTCAGTGTCGACAGTGTCATTCGTAACAGTGCTGTTAGAAATCAATCTCTTGAAGTCTTCAAAGAAACTAACGATATAATCTCTTATCCACAAAGGTATGAATTGATGGAGACAACTTTTCGCCATAGTGAAGTTAAACCCAAACAATAATAATAATAACGGGAATAGTAAGTGAAACAATTTAACATACCATATTCAATGATGTAGTGACAGTGGCTACAATCACACTTAACCATAAAAATAATCGACATATTGTTGGCGAAGAACATGGTAAAATGCTTCTCTACGTTTTTTTTTAAAAAAAGAAAGAATTAAATTAGTTATTATCATAACAATAGTAAAAGTTGTTGGAATACATATAACGTGTAGAAAAGAATTTATGTCAATATTCTGAAAATTAACGGGTGGAATAGAGATACAGTATTGTTAACATTTGATGATATGCTACTGTAAGAGATATGAGTAGTTGAAATTCACATTCCAGGTAATATAAACAAATTTGAATTCTTCTGACATTCAGCTTATTTTATGTTGATGCTGTTCATCTGTAATCTATCAATATTATTGATTTGACGTTATTTAAACATTAATGTCGTTTATAAGACTAATTCATTCATTCATTCATTATAATGTATATATAATTGTAGAACCTGATGATGAATTTATCGAAAAGAGTACTCTTTGTTCAGTATCCAGTCTTTTGAAAATTTGAATTAAATTGATAATAATAATAATATCTCAGATAGTCACGGACTGATTCAGAAATGAAATGAAAATCTGATTTAAATAAGTTCAACTTAATTTGATCAATAATTATTCCTTCAGTTCAAAATAATTCTTCCAAATATTACTGTTATTATTCCTTTGGACTCCGAGTGGAAAATGAGACTTGAATCCTACTTCATCGTGTAACCTAATTTCCCAATGCTTATGTTCACATAATCTTTCTCATTAAAACAGGAACACTTACTGGATAAAGTTTCACACAAAATTTATTATTACTCATGAGAACAATATATAGCCTTTAGTTTTTTCTTTTCAGTAGCTTGTTTAAATTAATGAGTTACCCAGTTTCCCATCAGTCAAAACACATCACACTTTCCCAACTTCATATTATGCGAATCATCTAATTAGGCCTGTATATCGCAACCCGCACTCACAGTCATTTTCACACAGGGTTCGAACCTACAGTTATAGAGTTTTTGAAGGATATGGAGAAAAAAAACATTACAATATTTTTAAAATAAAGGAAAAGGTGAATATTCTTGATGTGATTATGTCCATCTAGATGGACAATGAAAGGGCTACAATTAAATTATCAGTTCAGAGGACATAACTACAATGAAGCACTGAAGCATGCGCCTGGTACAAAAATAGTGCTGCAAATGATATATTATCGATTATTATTTTGCCTGAAGGATTCTGCACGGAAAGAACATACTGTACGAAATTCCGCCAATTCGCAATGCAGCGCCCACCAACAACCCCTATGTGTAGGAAAATACTAGCCAATGGAATTTTATGAAAAAAGGTGATGACACTACGCCAGTAATAAAAAAATTAGGATGCATCAACCACTAGGTTTCGACCCCAGTGGCTGAAAGGTGATATGCTCACCTCACAACCTGAAAATTCTAGATTCGATCTCTGGTCGGATCGCAAATGGCTACCAGTGAAAAGTTCCCAAACTATTTTTCAGTATTTGTAGTAGATGACAGAAAAAACAATATTTCGCAAATACCCCCGGTCATTAGAGAAGCGATTGTCTGAAACCTCAAATTAATTTTATTCATTCTCAAATATCAAGTGAAGAGACGAAAACAGGTAACTTTGAGGATTGAATGGGAAAGCTGCGCACTGATAAAACCAGAATCATATTGTTGCTATGGGCAAATAAAGAAAACTCTCCAACCTTTAAAAACGGGAGAATGGTTTATTCAGAATATGGCTCAACTCACTTTAAATCGTTTAAAGCATCCTATAACCATTAATTGTAAGGTTATATAAATGGTAGCAACTGAATACGAGACAAGCAGTATGACAGATCTGTAGTGAATAAGATAGAGAAACAAACAAACAATAGAGATTCGTAGTTATTATTTTTTAGAAACTTCTGTATAATTTCTTTAAGCCTTGAAATTATTTGAACTAAAGAAGTCGGGGAAGATTACTTCGATACAAACAACTGACTGATACAAAGAGCTATAAATCGATCACACCAGCTAATAGATTTTGCAAACTATTTTTTCATTTCCCAGGGTTCCAAGTGTAATATGGAGGTTGGATTGCTAGAGTCTTTCTCTCACACATACATCCTACTTTCCCCGGCTTACTAACAGCTACTAAACTAGATGAGGTTGAGAGGTCCGTCAGTATAGAACATGAACCCACACATGGCTACCAAGCATTCTACCATTGAACCACCGATGCAAAAATAGGAGAGTACTTCACGGCTGTTTCATTCCAGCACGTATCTATGACCTCACCATGGAGATGAGTTTACGGATCATTCAGTTACTGAAACGCATGTCAAATAGATCTGAGTGATTTAAGTACAGGATGTTGGCTTCATTCGTTTGTATCTGGTTTGTGAACTTAATTCAGTTTTTATGATGACTTCTAATAGCTTTATTAGAAGACGGAGATTATCTGTAAAATGTGATGTATTTGCGCTATACATTTCGAACAATCTGATCACACATTTACTTGTCAAGTCAATATATATGGAAAAGTTAAATTAAACAAAGTGACAAAAAAAGAATTAAGAATAATTAACACAAACGTTTGGTACTCCAATCAAATAAGGATTACCAAGGTAGGTTAAGAGTAACAACAAACTAAGAAAAGGCACAAAAGCGAAGAAAAGTTTCTTTTCAACGATTCATTTTCATGAGTTGTACAATCGTAATAACAAACTGTTTTTGAATACACAAGGGGGGCTTAAGTTTATGAATGGCTATAGCCTCAGCGTATTTCAGTAAACGTCCTTGACCGTTTTATAGATGACCTTAAAGGCTGAGTTAACACCTACATTATGGTTCATCTCGATTAAATGTTTGGCTATAGACGAAGTTGGTAGTCTGGCACCTGCATCTATGGGCTTGTCACAATTCATCTGTTTTCCTAACCACTCTGGGATATGCTCTCCCACCCTCACGTGCAACGCGCGATTACTCCTCCCTATGTATGTATGTCCACACACACACACACGAAAATTGGTAAATTGTATGGGATGTGATATAATCACTTGTGCACTTTTGAGGTTTCCAGTGAAGCATACTTTTAGCCTTTTCGACAATTACAAGCTGGGCTGCATAGTAGGTTCTACGGATGATGGAATTCAACCTTTGTCTCAAGATCCTACTATTTATTTCCCCATTATATGGTAATTTGATGAAAACCTTTTTCTTAGGGACAGTATGGATTGTAGGTTTAGAGGCTAGTTGACTTCTACACCTGTTTAAAAACTTCAAAGGATATCCGTTTTCAACAAGTGTATCCATCAATATTTCGTTTTCCTTGTCTATAACATCAGCCGTGCAAATACGCTGAATCCTCTTAAATAGACACTTCACCAAGCCTCTCTTATATTGTAATGGACAGAAGCTGTGAAAATTAAGATATTGCCCTGTCCAAGTGGGCTTTCTGTAGATAGACCGTCTTATTGAGCCATCGTCTCTTCGACTCAGAAGTATGTCTAAAAATGCGAGCTGGTTGCGACTTTCTTCCTCGCATGTAAGACTAATATGATTCTGTACAGAGTTGAGTCTGTCCAATAGACGACTCGCATCTTCATGATCATCGCATATCAAAATGATATCGTCTACATATCTCTTATAGAAAGGCAATTTAGAAATTAAATCAGAAGATAAGTTTTCAACATAAGACAAGTAAACGTCCGCTAATAAAGGTCCTAATGGACTCCCCACAGCAACACCATCCACTTGTCTAAAATGTTCACCTTCAAACGTGAAATGGACGTTATCAGTACATAATAGTAATAAATCTTTCAAATAAGTTAAAGGAAAAGGAAATGAAAAACAACCAGAAGATATATAGTCACAAAGAATATCAACAGTCTTAACCAATGGTACATTAGTAAACAAAGAATTAACATCAAATGAATACATTTTCCTATCTTTTATGTTCATATCTACAAGACAGTCAACAAGTTCAAATGTATCTTTTAAAGTACACTTACATAATTCATTGCGCACTGGACTTAAAATATCAGCTAGCCATTTTGCTAATTTATGTGTAGGAGAGTTACACATTGAAAGAATTGGACGTAATGGATTATCAACCTTATGAATTTTGGGTAATCCATAGAGGTTTGGAAAGTCAGATCCCATGGGTTTCAAGGAATTAAACTCCTGTTTATCGATAACGTCCAAGCCACGAAGTTTTACTAAATGAGAAGTTACTTTTCCTTCTAATTTTCTGATGTCATCCGAAGGAACATCGGCTATGAACTTGCTTTTGTCATTATAAAAGGGACTAACTGTTTTAGGCTTCTAATAGACTAATGATACCCTCCTACACAAATTATACAAACAGTCAACAACTTCATAGAGTGATTCTCGTGTGTCGCAGTTAGGTTATCCCTTCATTTACCTCAGAGATCATACTGTGGTGGTGTGATACAGACAATAGGTTCCAACGTGATATTATTCTCACTGTAAGAATCATTGTACATGATGCTGTTAACGTCTGAATACTATTCTCACAGTTCAGTAGTGCAACAGAATATATATATATATAAACATTCTGTTTCATGTCGTTTATTGTAAACCAAAATCACACGCTAAGTGATTGGTTAAAGAATATAAACTGTATAGATATAAATAGCTGTTTGATCACTTGAAAATATACTTTGGCTTCCGTGTCTTGCCTTCTGCTGTTACAATACTAACCTAGCAAACATAACGTGTTGAGGAAGATAGCGATTAGGAATGTTTTATACATGATGGAAGTTTAAAACTGCACCTGTATTACTTAAGCCTCAGAGTACAAACAACGCTGCAACTACTAGCATTTTTAGATGCCTTACCTTAGCAGACATAAAACATGAAAAAGTAAATTGTTGCACTAATTCTTAGTGTGACTAGATACCTCACATACCAAATTCAAGCGATATATGAATGAACTTAGCCATTAAATATAACGTATGGGGAGCAGCATTACAACAGAAACTGTAGGTGGTGAATTAAATCTTTAATTTGATCATGTATGAATTTCAATATCAGTATAGCTGAATCATTTTCTGTATTGATTGAGTTAGACGAGAAATATTCAGTTTAGTTCGTTTTTCCGTCGGTTTTAGAAAGACCTTAGAAAACGTTGAGCACGAAGTAATTTGGAAGCTGCTTCGACACTATGGAGTGCAGTCCTCCAAACATTTCTAAAAGTCATTCAACAGCTACATGACGACGTCACATGTCAAGTGGTGCAAAACGGAAATCTCAGTGAAGTCACTGAAGTGAAGACAGGAGCAAGACAAGGCTGCCTACTATCATCGATGATATTTCTAAATGTGGTGGACTGAATCATGAGGGAAGACAGTAGTACGCTGAGTCGATAAGAAGGCTACATAAGCTATGGACTTTGCGAATGATTTATGTCTAGTGTCAAACGAACTCGAAGATCTACAGGCGGAAACCAACAAGTTAGCTAAAGGAACACAGATGACCTTGCTTAACCAACAGCAACTAATCAACGTCCCATATTCAACGAAGTTATTTATAGACAACAAGATGGGATCGCAATAGGGTCTCCACTGGGCCCATGACTAGCAGTTTGCTTCAAAGCAAGCCTCGAGAACGGCCCACTCAAATCAACTATTGACAACTTCCAACTGTATGTTAGATAAGTGGACGACATTATTATTATCTGTGATGACGGCCACGATCTCAGTCAGTTACTGCAAATATTCAACAAATGCCATCCAGCCACAAAGTTCACTCTTGAAATTGAAAACTAATCTAAAATTCCTTTTCTTGATGTTGAACTTACAAGGAGAGCTGACGGAACTTTAAGAAGGTCCATCCATAGGAAACCCACATGGAACGGCCAACTGACAAGCTTCTACAACTGGGTACCAATCAGTCGGAAAAGAAACCTAATTAGATCTCTTGCCACTCGCGTCCGACGCATCTGCAACTCTGATACCATGGAAGAAGAACTAAACTTCCTGAAAGAAACCTTCATACAAAACGGTTACCCATCAAGATTCGTAGACAAAAACATCAAACAAAAAATCCAAAGGCAAGAGACAGCATCCGTGCCGAAAAAGATACTTTATATGAACCTCGACTTCAGAGGAGATCTACTCAGTGACGTCCACAGAAGAAGCATCTCCACCTCTTTAAGAAGAACTTTCCTTGCAGTAACATTGAGAGTAGTGTTCTCTAGTCGCCCACTGATCTGCAAAAACCCAAAGGACAAGATCCCGCACCTGACCACTTCTATGTTTATATATCAGTTCCCCTGTTGCTGTGGAGCCAGGTACATCGGTCGTTCAACGCGCATCCTGTCAAAAAGGGTCAAAGAACACTATCCAGCGTGGCTTCAGAAAGGAAGTAATGGCTGCATAAGGAGTGCAATAATCGAACACCTCGTCAACACTGGTCATTCCATCTCAACAAACACCTCCTTCAAAGTAATCTACAAAGTGAAGAACAACCCTCCAAAGACAGTATGATTCCGTCTTCTTTCCATCGCAGAAGCCCTAGCCATTAAGCTGGAGGAACCAGAACTGTGCATACAAAAGAAAATTATTCAACCACTACTCTCATGGTAACAACTCTGTTGATTTGACTTAACTTTTGTTTATAAAACACAAAATAATCGAGCAAACAATATTCTTTTCGATAGATTCCTCTTCCAGGCTCTACAATTATATATATATATGTGTTTATATACACAGAATATTTTAAATTAGTAGTTAATAACAATATTAGCGTTTATTGCTTGTTTGTTTGATTTGACTTTTGTTTGTATGCTTATTTTTCTACTTAAAACCCTTGTGTAGTACCGTATATTTTCTTTCCATGTACACCCTGAGTACAACTCTTTCTTCAAACTATTCATGTTATTACGTAACTCTTTTTTAACAATCGTTTGTGACAACTCATCACTTTTGTTACTACTCTCTTATATCAACATCCAATTCATCTGAACTGACTAATTGTAATTTCGTTTGACAAATTTAATGTACACATACAAAACAACCATATATATTTGCGATTGTACAGCTATTAAAATGAATTCGCCGAAAAGAGATTCTTCACTGAACTACTTGTCTTCTGTCGATTAATGTTCGAATGGGAATTTTTCATGAATTTTTTCATGAAGTTGCAAGGACCCCTCGACAGTCAAGGAACTCAATGAGTTTCTACGGTACTCTGTCAAACTTGCGATAGCGAAAATTACTTTTTTCAATGATTGTATCACCAATCGCGAATATCCGAAGTGGTTTTGGAAAGCACCGAGAAGAAGTCACAACACAAAATCTCTCCGACGCTAGCATTGAAATGGATATCCTTTAAAAAATTTTAAATGGTGTATAAGTGAGTTTCAAAACATACGGTCTATTGCGTCCTTAAGAAAGATGTCCTCATTCAATTACCATGCAATGGGGAAAATAAATAATAGCATTTTAAGACAGACATTAAACTCAATCATCCGGAAATTTCACTGCACTACCCAGTTTATAATTTGTGAAACAGATACAATTATGCTCTACTACAAGCCTCAACATTGCATAAGTGATTGTGTCACATCCCATACTATACCATAAACTAATTTATATGTGTGTATAGTTACATATACATAAAAAGAAGTAATCGTGTTTTGTAAATAAGGTTGGGAGAACAAATATTGAAATGACAGGAAAAATAAATTATCTGTGAAACCTCGATGAACGCGCAGCTGACAGATCACCAACATCATTTATGGGAAAAACACTTAATTGATATGAATTAAAACATGGATATCAAAACAGCACTCAAGATTACTTATAAAAAATAATCTGGATCGCTTACTGAAATACACTGAGGTGGTAGCTATTTGTAAACTTAAGACATACAAAACCAATTTATTATTCCTCTTAGCCTGCCTACCTACCTTGGCTATCCTTATCTGATTATGTTACCAAATGTAGTGTTAATTAATCTAATTATTCTTAAATAATTAATTATTTTGATGATATTAGATGGTTGGAGGCAATCGGCAGGAAGCCTTTATTTTACATGTAAACTGTCTTGACAAATAAATGTGTTATCAGATTGCTCAAAATATATTGTGCAAATGCATGAGATAATCTCCGATTTCTAATAACACTATGCAATTTTAATGGAGGGAGTAATATATATATATATATATATATATATATATATACCAGATAATGATATTATATAAGATGAACAAAAGCAAACAAAAGCGCCAACAACAAGAAAATTAACTGGTGGATAAAAAGAGGAAGAAAATATATCAACAAACTTACCTTGGCATAACAAGTAAATGCATAAAACCCAAAATTATTAAAATTGGTATAAACATGATTGTTGAAAAGCACAATACATGAAGTGATTGATTTTGAACAGAAGATATTTGGGCTAATAAGCCTTCATGATCATCATGATTATTATTATTATTATTATGACTACTGTATGATTGACAACAACCCAAGTGATTGAAAAGATTTGATGATACGGTGCTTTGATGAGCCAATTGCTTTCCATCAGAATCATTTCCTTTTTCATTATTATGATTATTATTATTATCATGTAAAGATAGACTTGTATAAGATATTTTACGTAGTAAACTACTCTTGAAACAATTCAGGAGATGATAGCAGCCAAAAGAAGCTGATGTATCTAATTGGTGAGAAGAAGTAGACTGTTTCAGAGTTAACCAACACGGTGGCTTTTCATCCAATGGTGCAGTCCTTAATATTGATAGCCTATTTATCATTGGTTTTAGATTATGTAATAACCCGATCTGATTTTCACCACTATTATTATTATTATTACTATCTGACATTGCATTTGCATGTGGTTGTGTTACAGTATCCGCGAAACATGATTGGAATGGTGTACCAACTGCCGAAGTTGTTGTAGTCGTTACTAGACTTACACCCATTAAATTCACTACACCGAAATTTGAAGTTAGATCACCGTTTACATCTGGACTACTCATCGGTGGATCAATAACCAATGAAGGACTAAACGAAGAAATTAAAACAACAACAACAAAGATCAAAACAAGTATAGAATAAAAAGAGAGAAAACTGAATAAAACATGTGTACAATATTGTACTCCTTAGACGCGTTGATATACGTCAGTGGTTATCAGTGAGTACTTGTTTCTGTGCCTGTGTATCACTCACGGATGACTGTAAAAGAGGCTATGCCTCATGAGCGTTGAAAGCGACATGATAAACTAAGATATTAAGAAATGCAATATAATTCAACAAACTTTGCACCAATGCATAGCCTTATCACGATCATCCTTCGTTTCACGAGGGTTAAGCTTGAAGTTGACATAGAATAACATCCAAATATAATTTATTTATACACCTAGTGTGAAATAGTTACTGTAGTTAAAAATATCAAATGAGAGAGAGCATTCCAGTCCAATAAAATTAATTAGCAGGAAATTCAAAATAATAATTCTGTCAAATCAGAACTAACACATCTTCAAGAAAAGATGGCTCTCGTATTCCAGTGGCCTAATAAATAAAGTTTCTACATTTCGAAAAAGATAGCTTCTATGATTCGAATCACTCACTGAGGATACGTATAGTCACACCCAACTGATGAGTTCAAAATAGGATAAACGCGTGTCGTAAATTCCACTGCTAGACACCATCAATCAAAAGACGAAGAACTTCAATCAAACAAATTGACAAAATGGAAGCATCAAGAGATAAGTGGTGTACTTAATAACTGCACATACGTTTATCAGCTTAACAAAAAGTCACTCCTATTGTATGACATTTGATAATACTATCTGACTGTTCGAACCTTAGTTGACAGAATAGGAATTAAAGCAAGGGGGCAATGATTGATAATTCAACCATAACTCCACAATTAATAATGTCAGTCTACAGATATACGTAAGTTTAGCAGAAACAACATAAGGGGAACATTAAGATGGTTTATTTTCACATGTATTACTGTGTAAATAAGTTACCACTACATCAAAACATTATTTTCCTTATTTGCGTAAAACACAGAGCCTCAAATATTGAGCACAGTAGAGGAATAGTAGCTTTTCTTTATCAGATGGGGTTACTAGTCTAATGCCTAACCCTCCTTTTCTCCGACCTTGTAACCAACTAGGCAGTTTAGGAGCGGGCCGACCAGGAATCAAACCCAAACCACATGCGTGGCATGATTGGAGTAAGTGTAAAGATATAGCTTGTTAAAACCAAGAGTACTAATTCACAATCATGATATATGCTACTTCCAATCTCTTACTAATATCGAGTCATGATGCAATGTAGCGTAAAATCTTAATTAGTAATCCCTAATTAATATTTAAAACAAAGATTTCAGAGAAGAAAATTCTCTTTCCATGACGATTTCAGTTTCATAATTGCATTCAATAAATAACAAGTACGTTTGTCAGATGTGCCAACATTTGAAAGTGTATGGAATTATGCAAGTGTGATAATCACGGTCCAAATAGTCAAAAATTGATTAGAAATATGAAGAAAGAAATAAGTAAATAAACAAAGGTTTACAAACACAATAAACAGTATAGGTAATAAAGAAATGATAGGGTTAATGTTTTACAGAAAGATTAAGTACATTCGGAAATGAGAAATGTGAATATACGAATGTATTAGGTCAGTAGTGTAATAGGATGGGGAACTAAGATGAATGAACTATCACCAATAAGAAGGTAAAATGTCGTTGAAAACCAATAAGCACTGGACAACTGTTCCTTCCTAGTTTCGTACTCTACACCAGTACTCCCGTGTTCAACCCGTCGGGGATCGAATACAGCACAATAACCCATGAGGCGATTCCATAGGGAATGTAGCCGCTGGACAGAATCAAATGGTCACTGTCAACCAATATCACACTAGTCCTCACACCTGAATTAGCGAAAAACATTGGCCTTGTCAGGTACGTCCCGGTTTTCACAGGTTCTCTGACGGATATCAATTTGTCGTCAAATATAAAATCAATCGAAACCATGTAAACTAGCACGTAAAAATATTAAATGTTAGTTGAGGGAGCTATGAATGTAAACGCCTAAGACATAAGAAATAACAGCTATGCACAGTACGTTTAACCCACTTCAGCTTCCCCATCCCCCAGCCCCAAATATCAAAAAATATCACTAATTAACTAGTATCCATTCCTCTAGAAAGGCTCCCATGTGAACAGATATCCATAGAACCTAGTACCAGATAAGTCCTATCCAATCTCTCAAAATGACTAAAGTATTCCTCACAAAAGTGAAACTGAACATCTGGCGCTAACAATTAGACAGGTAAACACGCAAATCTATCTAGGGGAGATAGAACACTCAGATTCCCATCCTACAGGATACATAGGCTCCTGAGTGCGAAAGGAGTATTAACCTGTTTTAGACATCAGAAACCATGGGAACGCCGCTTTACTGCCAGCCAGATTAGGAGGAGGTGGTCCATGCCTATCTCCCTGACTGGTTTCAACATAGAACTTTGCATTAATATGCACCAGTTCCAGTTGCCACAAATCACTCAATACAAAAAGCCAGAGAAGAAGAAACACCAAATAGAGACAGAAAAGAGAGATATCAGACAAAAAGAATAGTAACATCAAAGAACAACACAGTTTAACCGGTATTAATAACACAAGGAGTGGATGCATCTGCACGATTGAGAACGATTTTGAGCCATGTCACCAATTGTTTCCAACCATTGATTTTTACCGTCTCGAGGACCCCAACCAGTCTGGAAGTCTACACCTTTCTACGTGACTTAGACTAACTGTTGTAGATTTCATTGACTGGTGCCATGTTTTCCTTTGACCACCACTAGCTCTTTTCCAGCCTGGTCCTATATCAGCTAACATTGCCCGGCGAGGAAGGTGATGACTAGGCATACGTAGCACATGTCCTAACCATCTCAGTCGATGCAACTTCACAGCCTCGTCTGTTGACTTCCCCTCCTTACCTGGCACTCGACGCCTAACCTCAATATTGCACACCCTATTATACCATTTCATACGGGAGATAGAACACAGCCACCTATGATCAAAGACAACTAGCCAGTCTTTTCATGTCTTCCACTCTCAATGGCCATGTTTCACAGCTAGCTATAAAGGAAGACAGAGCGAACTGCTGAGCAATACACACGTCCTTTTGTCGATAGCCGGATATCACGTCTACTCCAGAGACGGCGTAATCTGGCACATGCAAACCTAGCTTTCTGTATCCGCGCTGAGATTTCGTCAGTGATCGACCCGCTAGGTCTGATGCAACTTCCCAAATAAGTCAACACGCTCTACCACTTCACTCCCTATTTCTAAGCTAGGAGTCAATGTAGTCCAGTCCTGTAGCATCATCTTACATTTGACGGGAGCGAATCGCATGCTAAACATTCGCAGATTGCAACTCAAGGTGTTCAGAAGACTGCTTTATTTTTTCAGCGTCTTCACCTAGAAAGACTATACCATTTGCATATTCTAAGTCAACGAGATTAATCCCTGGTGGTAGGAAGTCAATCCCTGAGTCTCTGAAGTGAGTTAGGGTTAAGTCCATTAGTACATCTATGATGAAATTGAATAGAAATGGGGATAGTGGGAATCCCTGTCGGAAACCACTGGCTGTCACCCGTTCAGATGACAACTTGCCGTGAGCTCTCACCTGGCTGCATGAGTTCGAGTAGAATGCCTTGATCAGTGTAATGCATTTTATCGGCATTCCCTTTACAACCAGGCATTGCCATAGTACCTCTCGGTTGACAGAATTGAATTCCGCCTTTAGGTCAAGAAATATAATGATCGTTGGACGCCGGTAGGAATGCCTATGTTCTAGAATCTGTCGAAGGGTGAAGATATGATCAATACACCCTCTTCCTGGCCTAAAACCTGCCTGGTTTTCTCGTGTTTGTGCCCCTCGAGCACCACTTAGTCTACGCAGTATAAATGGGTATAGAACTTTAGATACCATATTAGTCACGCTAATCCCCTTGTGATTACCACAAGAAGACTTGTCTCCCTTCTTGTATATCGGGATGATCAGTGACTTACACCAACCCGATGGGACTTCCTCTGATTCCCAGACGCTGCCTAGGACCTTCGTTAACGCAGACAGTAAACTGTCTCCTCCGTACTTAAATACCTCTGGAGTCAATAAATCAGGTCCCGCTGCTTTGCCTAGCTTCAGATTGGTGACAGCTTTAGTAACCTCAGTTAAGGACGGAGGACCTGTGTCTATCTCCCATTCAGGGAGGTGTTGGATGTCCGGTAGGTTAAGTGTGGCTGTGGGCCAATTAAACTGCTCCTCATAGTGTTCTTTCCAGCGCTCCAGACGTCTATCCTGGGAGCTAATTAAGGTGCCATTTTTCTCGAAGATTGTTTCGCTTATCATTTGCCTTTTACCACCTGTTTCCCTGATAAGCCTGAATAGTTGTGTGGTGTTGCCAATCGCCGATGCCTTTACCATCTCTTTCGCTTTTGTCACACATCACTATTCACGGCCATTACGAAGGCTTCTGTTAGTTTGCGTTTGAGTAGCTTTCGCTCTTCATCATAATCGGAGCTCGCCAGAATCAGTTCGGATGAGGCTCTTAATAACTTTTGGTTTTAGGTTATTAATAGCTTTGACAGCTGTGTCCACAGCTAACTGTATGTTGTGCCAGGCTACCTCGGCGGGAGACCCAGGTACTCGTTTCGCTTTTATTTCCTTAAATAGGGAATCAGAGTCTTGACCTAGTTGGGGACGTAACTGCTTTGCTGCCAACAATGTTTTGTGTCCGTTTAGAAAAATAAATAAACGTGCGCGAACCAGGGCGTGATCAGAGTCTACGCACTTGTTCCAGAAGGAGCGGCAGTCTTCTACTGACCCTCTTCAGCGATACCTTGTAACTATGTGGTCTATCTTAATACAACGGTGATTTGGTGATGGTGGTCACCAGGTTACGCAGTGTCTCTTTGTGCCTAAAGTTAGTGCTGACTAGGAACAGATGTTTATCTGAGCAGAACTGTAGAAGACGATCACCGTTGTCGGTTCGTCGGCAGGGTACTCCATAAGCAGAGGTGGTCCCTATAAGATAACCACCTGCTTCGTTCTCGATATCTGGATAGTTTCCCAGCCCTCTCAAAATCATGAGACTTTATGTGGCGCATCTCTTGATGTCCATTATGTACCAAATTTTGGTACAAATGTCTATCGACAAGTGAACTTTGAATAAACTGACTTCAATTAATGTAAAAAAAATTTTCACAATATATTTTGAGGATTAATATAATGCGAATAATTCGACTGAAGAAGGTGTGGCTTGTGCAGCGAAAAATCTCGTTTTGACTTTTTTTAAACATGCTGCGATTATTTTAAATAATTTATAATGTACCAAGTTTGTTTCGATAATTTTTAATAATAATAAATCTATTCATCAGATTGCAGAAACAATGACCAAAACTGCGCAGAACGACAAGTCCTGCAACAACAACAACCCCCACCACAAGACTTACCAATTTTTCCTTAATTTACCAACTCTTCGTTTACACGGGACAAATTTATCAGAACAGTCAATAGTATTATTGTCATCTCGCTGATTTTCATTATTCAATGATTTTGCCAAATTAACCGCAGTTACTGCCAACAATTTACAAGTCGAAGCAGAAGAAGAAGGCTGCCAATGGCGATGATGATGGTTAGAAGCCGTGGTGACAGGTGCATTAACAGGGGCACCAGTGCTATTTGAATGATTGTTATTATTATTATTATTATCAGAAGCATTAGTAGTGGTATTACACAGAACTTCATTGTATTCATGATCCCAATAATCTAATGAATCAAATTCTTGATTCGTTAAAATCTGTAATAAATTAACTTTAATCGCTTTCAACTCTTCATCTTCATCGATATATTTCCGTTGCAAATGATGTTGATGACAGGTATGATAACGATCAGATTTAGTGTGAAATAAAAAATGTAAGGGTAATTCAAGTAATATATTATTACTATTGTTCTCACTGTCATGACCAATGATACTATTGTGGTTATTAGTAATATTAGAAGGAGCAGTAGTAATAGTGGTAATATTGTTATCTACTGTTAAAGTATTACGATTCATATTTCTACATATGACAGCAGCAGCTGATGCTAAACGTGTGACTATAGTACTTGCTAGACTGCAGTCAAGATTTACTAAAGTGGGCCATTCATTTGATGGATTTGATTCGTTTAAATCAACTGGATGCAACTGATTAGTATTGGAAGACTTCTATAAACACAAAAAAAAGTAAAACAAAAATGTAAGTAACAAATAATCACACGTCTGGATTGATATTAGATAAGTGGGGTATCAATTAAGTTGGCGTGAACCGAGATTTCATGCTTAGTAGCATACGTCACACAAACTCGAAGACTTAAAAGCAGGTGAAAACCAACAAACTGGTTGAAGAAGCTGGCAGTGAAGGTAGGACTCCAGGTAAACACAGAAAAGCCGACGGCAACAACAACCAGCACCAATCACTATCACTTCCTTCACCTATCTAGGAAGCGCAATTTTAACCACAGGCAGTCGGGACGGATGAAGATGTCAAAACTAGCCAGAATTGGGAAGGCAAGATACGCCTTCATCAATGTGAAGCCAGGTGAGAAATCTTCTGCACTCGCTTAGCATAAAAAACAATATTCGGATTTACAACACAAATGTGAAGTCAGTCAGTTCTGTAATACGGGTCAGAAACTTGCACTGCACACCCGTCACGAAAGGGATTTGCAACAAATTAAAGGCTTTTATCAAGAGCTGCCCCTTTCACTGACTTATTAGTGAAGATCAAATGGCCAGCCGCCAAGAAAAAATTAGCAACAAGAAACTCTGACTGGGAACAAACCAACCAAAAGCCGATTGATCAACAAATATGTAGGAGAAAATGGAAATGGACTGAGCATATGTTAAGGAAGCCCTAATGTGACATCGTGCGCAACGCAGGCCATCGGTCGAGTGGAATCCGAATGGGATGCAACGAGTGGGTCATCCAAGGGTGACATGGAGGAGGTCGTGCGAGGAGGAGATAAGAGATTATGGGCAATCGTGGACCCAACCGAAGAGGATAGCAGCAAATGGAACCAAGTGGAAATGTGTTGTTGAAGACCTATGTTCCACTCGGAACCTAAGGGAATATTAAAAGTAAGCACACGCCGGCTAGCTGGATTCAAACAGTTCAATAGCAATATTTCTAATTCCAAGAAAAGAATTAAATCACGTCATTCTAGAGACTAAAGGATGCTCTGGATGTAAAACTCCGCCCGAAAACAAGTTAGCTTCACGAAAGGCAAATTATGTGCGGATCAAATTGCAATGCTACGCACCATTATCGAACAGAGCATAGAATGGTAGTCAAATCGCTACAATGAATGTATCAACTTCAAAAAGCCTTTGATAGCGTTGACCACGAAAAATGTTTTGAAAACTACTTCAACATTACGCACTGCCTAAGAACTTTATCAACGGTTATAGGATGAATGCACATATCAAGTGATACACACAGAAAACTTTGAAGTGAGAACAAAAGTAAAATAAGGCTCCCTACTATCATCAGTGATATTCCTGACTGTGGTGGACTGCATCATGAAACAGATATCAATAACAAAAATATTCATTCAGACATCTATAAAACACAAAATAATCGAGCAAAGAATATTCTTTTCGATAAATTACTCTTCCAGGCTCTACACACTTTACAAATCGATATTATTTAAAAAACGCTAATATTGTTATTAACTACTAATTTAAAATATTCTGTGTATATAAACATATATATCTAATTGTAGAGCCTGGAAGAGGAATTTATCGAAAAGAATATTGTTTGCTCGATTATTTTGTGTTTTATAGATATCAATAAGTTGCGCAGACAAGAAGACTCTAAAAGAACTGAAATTTGAGGAGGATGTATGTCTAATGTCAGAGAAACTCGAAGATTCACACGCGAAAACCATCAAGTTGTCAAACGAGTCAGACAAGACAGGACTTCAAGTAAACGTAGAGAACGGAAATTATCTGAAAAATATGATGTAGTGCACAAACACCTCATAGTTTTCGGATAATCTACGTCTTCGGGTTAACATTATCCAAATTTATTAAAGGAACTATTGTTTTAAGCATACAGAAGACAGAGATGATGAAGACATATTACCAAGAACATCAACAAGCACCGGTCGGTCGGTCGGTTTTCGACATAGAACTTTCCACATATATGCGGCAGTTCAAGTCGCCACACTCCATGTAGCACACAAAGCAAGAGAAGAAAGTAGGAGAAATGCATAATATAGACAGTAAACAGAGGTGTGAGACAAAGGAATAGTAATAACGAAGAACAAAACAGTGTCATTGGAAATCATAAGTCACAAGGAGTGGATGCATCTGCGCCATTGAGAACGATTTTGAGCCATGTCACCAATTGTTTCCAACCATTGTTTTTTACCGTCCCGAGGACCCCAACCAGTCTGGAAGTCTACACCTTCCTACGTGACTTAGACTAACTGTTGTAGATTTCATTGACTGGTGCCAAGTTTTCGTTTGACCGCCGCTAACTCAACAAGCACTAATCACTGTCGACAGGAAACATTTTACGAAAGCCGCTTCCTTCACTTAGGCATGATCATACTTCAATAAGTGTAACAACAATTAGAAGACACTTGTTAGATTTCACCAAGAACCAACATCACTTACAAAGATGAATAGTCAACGAATCTGGTCTCGTAATCGGAAAGCACTGAGTTTGACCCCTGTTTGACAGGGTCGTAGTGAGCACTGATAAGGAGTCCTAAAATAGGATGGAACAGATGTCCAGTACTAACTGCTGGTCTCAAAGATCTCTTTAATTAATGCTGGATCGTCACAAAGTCCAACAATTGAGATTAACCACGGATTATTTTCAGTTAGAGAACCATTGGAAGCCAGGGAGTACTGGACAGCAGTTTCGTCAGCCTGGTTTCGGAACCATCAGCAGTACGCACCCACTGGGTTTCGAACCCAGGACCTACCGCTCATAATCATATGGGCAATAGTTTGTGCTCGAAACGTAATCAGTTAATATTACTGTATAACACTGTGTGACTTATCAAAATAAAATCTTATCTATAATGGAGCGACTGGAGTTATTACTGTTAAAAGCATTCAAAGTTTACAAAACTTGTCACGCCATCAGCAAAACATGTGCAAGAATTAAATTAGTTTAAAAATTAATCATTCACACTTTCCCTTTCTCATTTGCATAGAGTCTTGAAGTGTGGAAAAAATCGACACATTTCAGATCCAATTTGTTAACCTGTTTAAAAATCTGTACGCGATTGGAACTACTCTATATACTACCGATTGATTGAGACGAGTAGCTGCATACTAGTCACATCAACCAGTAGGGCTTGCTAGCCAGTTCCAAGCGATTTAAACACCTGACACGCGTTCCGCTCGTTTCGAAATGATCCCATCATCGGTGTATCCGATTTGACTTAGCTCAAAGAGCCCAATCAGTTCAAACTACCCAATTTCTTGATAGCTCCTTGGGTAACTGAGATTACTGAAATCACCACAATATGTTATCTGTTGATAACATAAATGAAAATTAAGAAAGCAAGACCTTAAACGAGTGAAACGCCCATCCGGGTTTGAGATCACTTTGATCTACCTAGCTGGCAAACGCCTACTTGTTGACGTGAGTAGCATACGACTGCTCATCTCATTCAATCAGTTGTATGTAGTGTCACACATTTATGCTTGATTTCTCGATTATCATTCATGGTATCAAACAGATCAGAGAGTGAGACATGGATAATTTCGATTTTCAAAGGAAACTGGTTAAATTTCATTTCCTCGAAATTGTAAATCTAATTTACGGAACTATTCTTACATGTATTCGTTATTTGGGTAACATTGTGGAATCGTGGACTCACGTCTCGACTTACTGGAGACTCATCAGGTGAATGCTCTTGCACAGTGAGAGATCTCACTCAGACTCGAACCCAACAATTATCGCTACAAGTGCCCAAGTGTTATCCACTAGACAACTAAACAACACCAAAGCCACATCTTGTGCAGCAGGTAGTCACCAGTATCAAGTAACATCAGTATATCAAGAAAGCAGTCGTACCATGAACCGAGTCGACAATAAATATATATATATATATATATAGCATTTCAGTAAACGTAAGATTTAGAAGCTTCAATAATGAATAGCTTATCTATTGTTTTCAGATTCGCATATAAGTTAGTATGATCGTCAAAACAGCTATGAGGTCACACCTTGATTATTATTACTAGATTACAGAATGTTTTGTAAAAAGACTCAACAAAGTTTTAAGATAGTTTGACTACAACATAAGATAGTCTATGTCCATGTGAAGTGACATTTCAACAATGAATATTCAGTTGTATAGACAGTCTTCATTTTACGGTTGAAGTACACTAATGTCATTAACAGTGATGTGTCAGTACTGATAAAGCTAAACAAGTGAGCAGTCGAAATATCTTTGAAATTCATTGGCTATTGAGGTCCCAGTCAGGTCCCAGTAGCTGAATGGTATACGAGCTTGCCTTGTAACTGGAAGGTCCTGGGTTCGAAAACCAGTGGGTGAGTACTGATGATGAGTTCCAAACCAGGCTGACGAAACCCCTGTCCAGTACTCCTTGGTTTTTAATGGTTCTCTAACTAATATCAATCTATGATCTATTCTGAAGCGAATAGGATTCCTACAAACTAATTCTTGAAAATAATAATGACATCAGAAATACAGAATAACCGTTCACACGCTACTAGAACACTGGTTTTGTTAAGTGTGTTTTTGTGTACACATTTGTTTGTGTGTGGAATGGGTATGTGTAATGAAATTATTGGAAATAAAGGTCATCAAGGTGTTTTTATTTCATATCAAATTTAAATATTCCCATTTCAGGTCAAATGTGTGTATATTTATATTCACAAGTCTACTAAATTTGTGTGTAAACTGGTGTTAGCGCCATATAAAAGTTTGAACATGTTCGTAAGTGTCAAACTCTGTTTACATGCATTTTAATTAATTATCGGCTCATTTCATTGTTTGTAACGACCGATAAAATAAGAAACCCGAGTAATATTCTCCTGAATAGAACTAACGGAGATCTGCGTTTTGGTGCTTCGGTGGTTCACTGGTCGAATTCTCGCCAACCACGTAAGTGGTTTGGGTTTGATTTTCAGTCAACACACTCCTAAACCTTGTCCAGCTGGTAGTAAGCCTGGTAAA